CGCATAACCCAATTCTCAGCTGGACTGAATTTTGCAATGCAGATTTTTTTGACTTTTTTCATCAACAGCATACGCGTCCATAATTTCCCTATGCAGACAAGAGATCTGATTAAAAAAAAAAAAAAAAAAAAAAAAAAAAAAAAAAAAAAAAAAAAAAAAACCAAGAATAGCATATGTAGTTGTTCACCGCAAAATGTTTTCCAGATTAATTCTCTTTATACTGAGGAAAGGGTAGTAAAGGGCAAAAATTACTTTTGAGAGAACGCGTAGACCTTGAGTCAGGTTGATAATAAAATTGAAGATGAAATAGAGGAAATCAGGAAACCACCGATTGCTGACCGATCGAACCATGCCCTATCATTTCTCTTGATTTCCACTTCTCCACTCCGTGGGATGATGAGTAGTGACTCCATCCTTATGTCAACTTTATACTTTTAACTATTTATTCCCAAGGCCAAAAAAGTCTCCAATTTTGCTCCGTATTTTTGTTTATTAAACTACTTACATCATTAATCTTTCCTGTGAACTTACTCCAAAAATATAGTTTCACTAATAAAAATGTTGGCTTAAAAATGTCATTTTTTCCAACGGGAAACATAATGCTTCGATCTGCAATAATTGAAAAAAGGGGGGTGGGTCAGTTCGAGCCTTACGTAATTTTTAGAGGGAGAGGGGGTAAGGGATTCCTTGCGGTGCTGCACAAGGAGGTGTATGGGGGTCTAAAAATGGGAAAAAGGTCGTACGTAATTTATACTAAAGGATGTTAACTGTACTGTACACCATGTTAAATTAATTTCTGTCTGGAGTCTGCTTTTTCCTTTAAGAAAAAACAAGTTTTGTAGAGCCCTTTTCAATTGCGTGCATCAAAATGCAACCCTCACTCTTATTTTTTGAAAAAAATAATCCTTCAATTCTCTACGCGGCATTTATAAATATGTTAAATGCATTAATAAGTAACTTCCAAGTCGACGCGAACCGGATTTCACATTAGCGTGGCGAGCACTTTGCCGCTTAGCAGTGCAAGTTGATCCAAACCTGAGGCGAATTTGCCGGTGCATAAGCCAAATGGACGTATTTCTACCAAACAGACCTATGTGGTGGTGAAAATATGGGGTGTGCTCGTTAGTTCTCTGGCCGTATGAGTGAATGAGAATAATAAAACGCCAGTGACGTCAGTGGCAACGAACGAGGGTAAGCTCGAGGGCGCGGCAGCGGGATCGTCGTCGGGGCACTTTAACTTATGAGCCCTGTCTACAACGCTCTCTTGCCATGCCCGCGGCTCATGAGTTCCGCATTCTGTTGGCACATAGGTCTGTTTGATAGAATGTAAAATCCTCCTTTTCCAATTCTTCAAAAGGAATCACGCCCACTTATACATTGCTTCTTATGCAGCTTTTTAGAGCACACCCCTTATTTCTCACCTCCACATAGGTCTGTTTGGTATACGTCCAATTCAGGCATCGGGCCGATGACTCCCACATTCAGCGTGTGATTGCGGCGTGAATTTGTTTTGTGCTTCCAATTAAATCCAGAGAAACTTTCAAACAGATTCAACCAACAATTTTTCATTAAAAAAATAAAATGGCGGCGAAAATTTTGAAACGTCGCATGGCGCCTGTAATACATTGGCCGGAAGGTGACGCTTCAGCGCAACCGCTTGTTTGAACGTGCGTATGCTTGGAGACTTAAACGAAAGAGTAGAAAAGTAGATATAAAAATACATTGTATATCGTCGCCGCAAGTTACCGGGTCGAAAACACACTAGGAAATCGTTCTCTTTCATTCAATATTTCTCTCCTTCAACCCCCACTACCGATCCNCCCCCCCCCTTCCACCCTAGTTTATCGTCTCGAGGAGCTCGGTGCACCGAAAATATTTTTAAATAATAAAAACTGCAAATTCCACACTACATAAAGGAAAGTCGTATCGTCGTCGTCGGTGGCCATGAGCGTTTTGCAGCAAAACTGTTATGATCCGAGGAGATAAAGCGATAAAATTGATATCCGTGTGTTTGCACTAATTGCAAGCAAAGAAAAAAAATCAGAATAGGATATCATTATATTCAAAAACATGAAACCGTAATAATGAGCGAACATTCTTGGTTGGTTATGTGTCGCCAACTGCGAGACAAATATTGTTTACTGAGAAAAGCAGTTGTTTCCTGAGCAAAATGTTACAATTATTTCAATGCTTAGTTCGACTAAAATGGACGACGGTTGTTTGGCTAGCAGTAACGTCAATCACAGCATAAAACCCGCTCGATTTCCCGATCTTTGAGTACACAACGCCTTGATACAACTAACCGTGTTCCGCGGATGTCCGTGTTGCTTACCGAAAAATTGAAGGCGTTTTGGTTTTCGTCGCGCTCACAGCTTTGATGAATGACACCACCGCGCCTCGCCGGCCGCGAGGAGTTTGTGAGCGAGGTAAAGTTTATTTTCATTGATAGAGTCCACGTCAAATGCGTTCATGCACTTTTGGACTGCGACAGAAGATCCGTCATCTTGTTTCTTGCGTAAACTGAACATGTAAAATTAACGTCAGACGATCTTCTGTCGCAACCTAGTAGTGCGTAAACTTATTTGGCGTTGACTCTAGCGCAGTAAGGCAAATAGACTTATTGAAGGTGTAGCAAAGAGAAAATAAAAGCCCCAAGTAAATACAAGAGTGCGGGGCCGTCTGAACGCCTGCGTTTTATTTTCATAGTCACCCGACGAACACTCTTTATTTAATGGGAAAGAACACGCTTATTATTTCCCGCGGGAAATTTATTTCTTCAATTTTAGCAGATTTGCCCGTTAGAAATATGTCCACGGCGGGTTGAAGATGTGGCGTTTTTAAATTGCATTATGTATACCTAAGTAGACTTTAGCAAAAAAAAAATCGGCTTAGTTCAAAACCAATGTAAACCATATCCGTTTCCGGGTTAAAAAGCGCGGGAAAAAATAGCGGGACTTTATTAGCTGTATGCATTTCTGTTTCCGAGTAAAAAATCGCGGAAATTTTAAATCTGTGTGCATTTCCGTTTCCGGGTAAGAAAACGCGGGAGAAAAGAGCGGGAATTCAATTATCTGTATGCAGTTCCGTTTCCGGGTAAAAAAGCGCGGGAGAAAAGAGCGGGAATTTTAAATCTATGTGCATTTCCGTTTACGGGTAAAAAAACGCGGGAGAAAATAACGGAAATTTCATATCTGTGTGCAATCCGTTTCCGGGTAAAAAAGCGCGGGAGGAAATAGCGGGGATTTTTCATCTGTGCGCTTTTCCGTATCCGGGTTGTACGCATTTCCGATTCCGGGTGAACAGTGTTGCCAGCTTCACTCAACCAGAGATGGACATTTTTTTTAAAAAAATTTCTGGCGGTTTTTTTTTGTCAAACTGGGAACTTATGAAATGAACCACTCTCGACCAATCACAATGCCTAGTTCAGAATTTGCCGTGAAATTCCTATCATTTGGAATTTTGAATAAATGACATTTTTTTAACCAAATCAGTAATCACGCAAAAGAAGAGGAAGAAGAAGATGTAAATAAAGATGGAGACCACGTGTGTTTTGTTTATAGTTATTTTAATTATATTAAAATTGCATGTGATGTGATGTGAGCGAGAATTCGTCGCATTCATGGCTGTAGCTCCTAGTAGCTCCTGTTGCGCTATGATACAAGATCCTCTGCCTCTCTCTGAACTTGACAGCGTCTCAAGTTTTGAACTGACTGCCGACTGGCTTCTCCTAGCCTTCTCCGTCAAGCCTTTGAACCTGTGGTATTGTAGACTTCATCCTGTGCTTTTGTTCGGTCCAATGCATAGTTTTAGAGGTGTCGTCAGCTAAGTTGACAGTTGTTTACTTTCGGTTTGCAGGCGTTTTCGCGTCAGTACTATCCACATTAAAACATCTGACTCTCTCAGAAGCAAGAACACAAGCTTAGATAAGTTTTTAAATACTTTCAAACCTTGTAATACTTTAATTTTTAGCCACACAGAAATCACAACCACAAAAAAGTCGCAAATCATAACTGACAAGTATTTTTTTACGACCCGATCATGAGACTGATGTTTTCAGTGTGGATAGTAGCGAACGCCGCTTTGTTCAGAAGCCCAAATTCGTCGTTAGCGCTTGCAAACCAAAAGTAAACAACCGTCAACTTAGCTGACGACACCTCTAAGTTAATTTTAGATACGGTGGCCCAAGTATTTGTGGTTGATCAGCTGCCGAAGTCTGCTCCAACTCAAGTTAATTCAATGGGCGTACCTAACTACCACCTGCACAGTGTCTGCCAACTTTGTCAGGAGAGGCGATATTGGTGAAAAATTGGGTTAGGTAAACACAGAATTCAAAGCAGCATGACCAACTTTGTTTAAAGTAACTAAATGCAGTGGACGCACAGGTGGTAAGGCAGGATGTTGGAGTTTTTTAGCCAATAAGCGTTAGAAATTCAGTTTAACGCTAATATCTCAATTCAGAGGCAAAAATCTCACACACAAGCACAATTCCCCTTCCAAGAGATACGCTGTTTGGTGCAACATTAGTAACAACCATTCAGCGAAACTATCTCTCCGAGCTTGGTAGCAAGAACACGACTGCAGTTGCCTTCCTGAATGGTTGTTTCTAGTGTCGCACCAAACAGCATATCTCTTTGATGGAAAATTGTGCTTATGTGTGAGCTTTTTCCCTCTGTATTGAAGTATCAGCTTTAAGCTGAATCTTTAACGCATAGTAGTCACTTAACTGTGATGGCCTCTCTCAATGTATTGGACTTAATGATGTCTAACGAACAGACATAGAGGTCAAATTTGCACAGTCCTTTAGGTACTACAACACCTTTAAAGCTCCAACTTACGCAGGAGTCATTTATGAACATCACAGCTCAATTCTTCGTATCGTCAAGTTTCTCGCAAAATTCTACTCACACATAATTGATAAATCACCAATCCACCATCCTTACCACAAATCTAACCTCTTATATTTTTTCATACACTTTCATCTACATTATTTGTGATTACAGGAGGCAAGTATGCAGTGTTGGACTCTGGAGAGATTTATATCTTCAATGCTGGGCCGGGAGATGGCTACAAAAATTTTGTCTGTCGAACCGTTCATCGACTTACTGGCGAAACACAGTCAAGTGTGTATCCTGGGAGAATCATCATCACAGGTAGGTAATGAGCATAAATATTAACAAAAAAACTTATAGAAAGGTGCGTTCATAAAACATGTAATGCTCTTCCGGTTGGAGGAGAGCGTTTTGCTATTTTTTTTCACATGTCAAAGAATTGAGGAAAAACAAGGATGAAAAAACAGGAAACAAGGCTATAAATACACAATTTATGAACCCGAGATGTTTCGACTCAAAACTGAGTCATTTTCAGTCGGAAATGAAATATGAGAGAGACCAATTATGTGCCGTGCTAAATTAGATGCAACGTTTTTCTTTACATTCATGGGTTGAATAGATAGAAAATTAATGTAATGACCATAATTTTTTATCTGTTCAACCCATGAATGTAAAGAAAAACGCTGCATCTAATTTAGCACGGCGCATAACTGGTCTCTCTCATATTTCATTTCTGACTGAAAATGACTTAGGTTTGAGTCGAAACGTCTCGGGTTCATAAATTGTGTATTTTTAGCCTTGTTTCCTGTTTTTTCATCCTTGTTTTTCCACTCTTATCATTGTCTTGGGCTGCTCTTAAAAATTTGTATCTAAAGAATAGAGGTCGACATCACAAAAGCCTTACAAGGATTGAAGGATATTGATAAATCCAAAATTACAAGTTTATTATTTTTTGAACAGCTCTAAATGTCAGTAGGTACATTAGTTAATAAAAAACCCAGTAAAACAGCAGATTTTTTTGATAGATTTCCTCTAAAAATTGAAGAAAATAAAATTTAAAAAAGATCGTAACCTTGTCGAAGCATATATTCTCATTCTGTCAAAATCTCACAATTTTGTCGTATTTTCCAGAGCCAAAGGAGAGCGTCCAGCCAACAATATCGGTAGAAAAACATGCTAAAAAACAAGTAAAGTTGGGTGAGGATGTCACGCTACCGTGTGTTGCTCAAGCCTATCCAATCCCATCATACAGGTACGTATTTGCAAACATACCGATTCAAGAAATGCACTGAAGCTCAATGCAACAGTATAAATACTTCATCAATATGATATCAGCTCTTAGCTTTCATCGTACATTTTGAGAAGAACTGTAGACTAACAGCCGGTAAAAGGCCTTAAGATGATTCGATGGGCGCCATATTTTGTGTCAGAACGGCATGCGATATATCGCATCAATTTGTTCCATTTTTTCAGCTACTCGTCATTTTTCTCTAATTTTGAGATCGCAATTCTGTTGTCAGGAGACTAAAGCACTCACTTACCAATTTTAACAAAGAAATTCAACGTAATAAAGGCGTGGATTTTTTAGAGAGAAAACATTGCATTCGATACTGATATCGAAACTGCACTCGAATGCGATATTTTCTCTCTAAAAAAACCATGCCTTTATTACGTTGAATTTCTTTGTTAAAATTGGTGAGTGCTTTGGTATCTTGACAACAGAATTGCCATCTCAAAATTGGAGAAAATCGACGAGTAGCTGAAAAAATGGAGCCGATTGATTCGATATATCGCATGCCGTTCTGACACAAAATATGGCGTCCATCAAATTACCTTAAGGTCTTTTGACAGTCAAAATGAGGTAATGGAAACTTTCAGGGTAAACGGATCATAGTTTTTATCAGGAAATAAGACTAGCACCCTCATGGGTACCGAAAAAGGTATTGAGGACGGATAATGCATATGTAAGTAGGAAGGAAACTATAATAATCTTGTCATGAAAGAGGGTCTCTAAAAGATGTTTGGCTTTTTAGATGACAATCCAGTAAATATTTCTACACATATTATAAAAAGTTGAGCGACCTTTCAACGCTAATTAAATGCACTTACTGACTGAATAATAAATATCTGCAAAGCATCTCTCAGTAAATTTTGCGGCTCCAAAAGAAAGAAAACAGTAGAAAGAGTCGCATTATATACCTGTCTGAATTGGCTGATGCTGCACCACAAGACCCATTTTTCTTGTATCCACTAAGTGTCTAATCAGGTTCTCTCAGAGGCCCTTCATGCTGCTGTCTAAAGTAAAAATTGTGTATCTCCTTTCACAGTTTTTCAATTATTCCCTGATAAAATGCTATTTTACCATAGAGAAAAAAAGGAGGTGTTTGCGTTTCGGGCATCTTGGAATTTTTTTAATGACGTAGGTCTGTATGGCGACTTTTATCATCGATTTTCTTGGAAATGGTGTAGTTTATGGAAAAAATGCATTCAACCTAAAGTGTTTAAAATTATATCAAGAGTTGATTTAAGCAAAAAAATCGGATGTTATGGTCTGTGTTTCATACTTAGAATTCCGGAGTTTGCTGACCAGGTTGTACCGACCTAAGTCACAGGGTACACAACCCTCAAGATGCAAACACTTTCTTTATTTTTCTCTATGCTATTGGACAAGAGTTCTAACAATTGTTCATCCTACATTTTTTCAAGACGAGTGTAGTGTACCATCAGGGACTTAAAATTGAAAAATGAAGCTTTATGCCAATTAGGTGTTTCTTTTATAGATCAGTACAAATTGAAGAAACATACCAAACTTACGATATGTTGGAGTTTTTTAACGCACTTTGGCAAAAAACTCCCAACATATTGTAAGTTTTGTATGTTGCTGTCGTACGGCTCGTGCGTCCTTCGCAATCAGTTTGTGTAAAACTTACAATCAAGTCTCGGTGTTTTTGCAATGGACCGCAGCATGGGCTACTGTATTTTTCAAAATTTTAGACTTAAATTCAGCAAAATCTTCCAGTGTTAAACCATTATACATCCAATGAACTGAATCTGAACGCTTTGCTTTCAGATGGTTCAAAGAAGAAAAGGACCAGCTAGTGCCTTTACGCTATAACGATAGAATTTATATCCTGGCAGCCGGATTACTGAGAATCAACAAGGTGCGCTTAGATGACCGGGGAAAATACATTTGTTGGGTTAACAACACTGCTGGAGAGGACACCGTTCAGATGATTCTCTCTGTATCTTGTGAGTAATTTTTCCTTCAAGGAATCTCCTAATCGCTTTCTCCCTTTTTTTAAGAAGAATGTACTGTTTACAATTAAAATATTTATGAATTATATTTATAATTTTATGTTGACATAGAACATGAATTGAATCCTTGAGGAACATTGTTTCTACAGTGTTGCATTCAACTAGCAAAATGAAAAAATTCAAGGAAGGAACTAAACCTTGTTCCCATAGTGCTTACCTTTCCCATTTCATTGCGAAGATACCGTAACTGCTATCTACTCAGTTCAGGTGTATGGGAAGGGTAAACTTGTTTTAAAAGGAGATTTACAAAGTCTGTATGAATGTGGGGTTAAAGTAAGTAGATAAAAAAATTAAGCCACCGAAAATAATATATATATAAACTGAGAAAACTTATTTCATGTTACAATATTAAGGGTAAATTTTTTATCATTCAAGTATAAACCAGGACATTTTTCAAAAACTTGAGAAAATTTGATAAAATTTCAAAAGTAAGATTTTTTTTGAACAACCCATATATTGAAGTGAGTTAAATAGAATTGCAACAAGTTGCATTTGGGGAAAAAAATGAGTTGAGAATATGTAGATTTGAATTCAACCAGTCATAAATTTTCCTCTGTTAAAAATTCTAAGTTGAGAAACACTATTTTAAATGTGAAAATATTTGTGAAACTTTAGGAAAATAGAATTTCAAACCTCTTTTTCTCAGTTCAAACTTGATGTAAGGGGGTGCATCCCCGCTAAACTTTGTTCAGGTGCTCCATCAAAAGTTATTGTGCCGTCTGTTTTTTGGAAAGAAAGTCAAAAAAATCAGGTGTCTACAAGTCCGGAATTTTTGGAAAGTCCGGGAGTACTGATTTTTTAAGGGTGGTCCGGAAGTACTGGAAAAGTGCGGAACTTCTGCAGAAGGTCCGGAATTTTTTTCATTTTTTGTCGCAACTTGGGCGAGAAATTTAAATTTTTAGAATTTCTCGATTTTCGTCAACTGGAGGTAGGTACTAAAATACTGAATTTTCCTGTGGAGAAGGTACTAAATTTCTGAGGAATGTACTGAATAAGCACTGTTAAAGTACTGATTTTTGGTTAGCTTGTTTTAGTAGACATCTTGAAAATCCCAGGATTTCTCATTACTTAGAGGTATTCTTCTGTACCTGTGTTTAAAAATTGGAATTCTAAACTGTTGGTAAATTTACTTGTTTTCATAGTCAGGTAACTTAAATCCTATCAGGCAGAATCACTCTGCGCAAATTTTTCAATATCATATATGGATGGCCAAAGTGCAAAATCACGCATCTCCGTTTGCAACGTTCCATACTTCCATTTACTTTTCTTACTATGTTTCATACTTTGTTTTTTCAGCGGAAAACTAGTCAACTTAATGTCCTAAAAACTTCCTTGATTTTTTTTCCGGCATTAGACGAATATTTTGTAGAAATTTCAAGTTACATAGTTGATTTGTTTCTCTCTGAAAAAAGAGGATATGTGTAGGAGTAGAAATTTTGAAAAACAGCAATGGAGAGGCATTGTTTTGTCCTTTAGCCATCGATAAGTGAGCAAAAGAGTAAGCCCTTTCATCAAATTTGTGTTGTTCTCATAATAATATCATACTCTTCATCCTTGCTGAGTCAGGTGAACAGAGTTCTCTAAGTCTTAAAAAGTACGATCGACTTCATTCCAGTTTTCTGTTTGATTTCAGCTCCACTGCGAGTATTAATGCAGCCACAGTTTTCGGTGGTCGATGTTGGCAAAGAGGCTTCATTCCAGTGCATCATTAGTGGTTTTCCTTCGGATCGTGTTTCATGGTACTACAACGGAAGACCGTTAGTCAATAGCGGAAGAGTTCACATCAGTTCAGATCCTGAGAGGTTAATCGTTTCCCTCCTGACGAAAGAAGATCATGGAATTTATCAGTGTTTTGTTAACAATGACTGGGACATGGCCACCGGGACGGCGCAGTTGCAACTAGGAGGTAAGTCATATGTAACAAACTCCTTGACCAATTAAATTACAGATACCTCAGTGGGTTGATTCTTGAAATTGATAGACAGAACGATAGACAAAAGAAAAACAGAGCGATCCTTTTGGTTGAAATGGGTGGTTAATATAGACTAAGGGGGAAAATGTTGGACTAACTTTTTGGTCCTTCGTGAGTTGACATTAGTTAGTCTATTATTTACCTCCTCCGACCATTTCAACCACTTGCTTCCACCAATAGAATCAATCCATTTTCTCTTTGTATTCTTTGTCAATACGTAGCTTGGTCTATCAATTTCAAAAATCAGCCTGCTGATTTGGTGTTGACTTAGAACATTGTTTTTAGCTTCATTCTACAGTACATTGGTGTAACTGCAGGAACGCTTGTCTCGTTCTTGGCGTTTCATAGTCTCTGCGCTCATTTTATTTTATCAAAGGAAAACAAACCAAACGCTGTTGCTTGGAATTTTGCAGATTACTTTGAGTACAAAATAAAAATCAGAGTTTCCAAGTAATGATGTTGAGTTATTTTTCCATTTAAAAAATAAATTTTAACGGAAATCTGCAATGTTGCAAACTCAAATATATGTTCCTGCTGCTTCACCATTGAATAGTGCTCTACCTACTTTGTGCATCATGCACAGAGTGCCTGGAAAATTAGGTTTTGGTGGGAAAAAAAGGACGTTGAATGAAACATCATGCCTGTAAAATTGATACAGCTTTGATTTCCGAAGGAACCTTGCATAATTTCCTGTTGATTAGTATAAAGTTTCATGACTTTTTAAGAATTGGACGTGACGCGTAATTTTAAAGGAAAATAATTGGGTAAAATTTAATACTGTACATATATAAGCATTTTTAAAATAAAAGAAAAAGCTGCACAGTTATGGAAACACTGTAATCGCGATGGTTCCTTCTTGCTACTTGCTAAATGCAATCCATTTCATAATCCTCTTAGCAAATACGTAATTTTAATTTAATCACAAGAATTTGTTTTATGTGTGCAGATGCAAGTCCAGAACTAATACACTGGTTTTCCGAACAAACCCTTCAACCTGGCCCTCCTGTTTCCTTGAAATGTGTTGCCACCGGAAATCCTCCGCCTCAGTTCATTTGGACTTTGGACGGATTCCCTCTTCCGGACTCCACAAGGTATATAGGTTGATGAATAAAATATGGAATAATTTGATTCTATTTATCAGGCTGTTCGCATGCTTGAAACATGTTGAAAATGGAGGAATGCGAGATGATAAAATTCTACGAAGAAGTGCCCAGAAAACGCATGAAGGATCTTGTTGATTTTTTCCATGGCTTTAATTTTTACGAAAACGGAAAAAAAAAAAATCTTTTTTGCTCAAATATTACTTATAATTGTCCAGAAAATGGATGGAGAAGCCTTTTGATCATTTTAATTTTTTTTTTTGGAAAGTTGTTTATGTGACAAATCTGATCAGAAAATTTGAAAGTCCTTCTCAAAATTAGTTTTCTTGTTTGTCTGTACATCTGTGATCAAAAAACTTCTAGAAATGATATAAATTTGAGTAAAAAAAAAGAACGGAAAGAGTCCAGGTATTTTTCCTGAAATCTATATATTTGCCAGTCGTTAAAAGCATAGTATCCAAGAGTTTTTATCGTAAAATTTTAGGTTTTACGAAGGTCGTCCAGAAAGTAAATTTACCGATTCAATATCTCCTAAACTAAGATAGGTAGAGAAAATCTGTAAAGAAAGTTATAAAGCCACTACTCTGGGCTCTTCAATGTGCTATAGATTTTTAAATTTGGCTTGATAGAACTCTAGAAAAAAGGGTTTATTTGAACCCACCTCCTCTCCCCACAGGTCCAAAATTTTACAGAGCTTCATTTGCATAAGAGCCACTGTGTCTATTGCTCATGGCTAAAAAGTGGTTTAGAGGTGGTTGAAACACATGTAAAACATAAGTAAGGACATTTTCCAACAAACAAGTAGCAGGACTTTTGCGAATGAAACTCCATAAAATTTTAGACCCGTGCGGAGAGGAGGTGGGTTCAGAAAAACCCACCTTTCTGGAGCTTTATCGAGCCTTTAAAAACCTATAGTGCGTTAGAGAGTCCAGAGTAGTGGCTTTTTAACGCTTTTCACAAATTTTCTTTGTCTATCTTATTTTAGGAGATATTGAACAGGTAAACTTACTTTCTTGACGACCCTTGTAGATTTTTGCCATGTTTCAAACGTTTTAAGTTAATGAAATATCTCGCCAAGCATCTGCGGTTTTAGGCATTGATACTTCTTTTTTTTAAGTTTGTTCATTATTTTCTTTGCTGTGGCACTTTTCAGATTTCTTGTCGGACAGTATGTTACGGTTCATGATGATGTCATCAGTCATGTTAATATTTCAAGTGTCAAGGAAGAGGATGGTGGAGAGTATTCATGCTCTGCCCGAAATTCAGTGGCAACTGTCTCACACAGCGCCAGGATCAACGTTTATGGTAAAATTTAGTTGTCTTAAAACTAGTGTCCAAGAGAAATCAGATGCAAAAATCTTGCATCAAAAATTCTCACCAATTTTTATTTTTTAATTCTGTGACAAACACAGAGCTCAGTCAAAGGTACAGATGAACTTCATTTTCCAATTAGGAACTACAATATCTGACTCTTTTGTAAAAGCCTTTACCTGCTTACGGAAACTAACGGCACAAATGCTGTCTCTAAAGTGAGCTGGAAATTGTCGTTTGTAATTGCAAAATGTAGCTCGATCACTCGTCGTTTATGGTAAAAAGTTGTTTTAAAACTAGTGTCCAAGAGAAATCAGATGCAAAAATCTTGCATAAAAAATTCCCACCAATTTTTATCTTTTAAGTCTGTGACAAACACAAAGCTCAGTCAAAGGTACAGATGAACTTCATTTTCCAATCAGGAACTGCAATATCTTGACTCTTTTGTAAAAGCCTTTACCTGCTTACGGAAATTAACAGCACAAATGCTGTCTCTAAAGTGAGCTGGAAATTGTTGTTCGTAATTGCAAAATGTAGCCCGATCACTCGTCCGGGTAGGGCAGGCGTGTGACAGTAAGATTTGGCAAATTGGACTACCTTTTATAATTAGGGACTTTAATGTCTGACTCATTTGTAAAATCACTTATGTACTTAGAGAAACTCTCGGAATATGCATTGTTTCTTAATCGAGCCAGTAATTGTATTTCCGAATGACAAAATTTAGTCCCATTCTTAAGTGGTAAAAGTCAAAAGGAAAAAAAGAAGGTTGTCATTTTTTAAATTGGTGGGAAATCTCGCATAAAATTGATGAGAAAAACATAAAAAGTCAGCAAGTGAGTGGGTGAAAACTTGGAACAATCTGCAACCCTGGGCTCATTTGTAAAATATGATATCCGTCAATTTAAATCGAGAAATCTGGCTTTTAGATCAATATTATTGCTATTAGCCTATCTGTAGTACGTATTTACTACGTATTAAAGAACAATCTTGCTACTTATTCAAATTGCGATGCGGAGGTGTCTATAAACTGAAAAATTTGAAGAATAGAAAAAATTTAAAAATTGGAAGGGAAAAAAAAGAAAAGTCAGGAAATTAAATGACGAAGATCATAATTATTTCCTTTTGCTCAATTTGTTTCTCTATCCTGAAAGTCTTCGCAATAAGAAATGATTAACACTCTTAAACAGAAGACTTATCTAGATGATGGTTTTTTTGTCTCAATTTCCCTTTTTGCTTGAAATTTCCCCGAAATCATTTGATGCCACGAACTTGTTTTGTATCTGTAGTTTCTTTCAGTACTTTTTACCCTAAAATTTTGAAATTTTCAGGGCTTCCATTCATAAGAGTCATGCCGAGAGTGACAGCAGTCGCTGGAAGTAATTTAATAATTAAGTGTCCTGTGGCCGGCTACCCAATCGAGTCAGTAATCTGGGAGCAGGGTAAGTTTTTCTCCATGTTTATTTTTTTATTTTTTATTCTACAAGGCATACATAAAGCCACTATAGAACAGGCTATTGTAATAGTCAGAAATAAGTACGCAAGGAAGAAAATCACGGGCGTTTCTATGGCTAGCAAGATTTAAAAAGTTCAAACTTGGTGGAAGAAGAAACAGCAAATTAGGAAATATAGAGACTGAAAGTAGTGAACTATCGATACTTTAAGGAATGAAAGAACATCAATTCTAGAAGTTAAACAGAGGGGATAAATCAGAGAGATTTTGAAAAGACTCTGCCAAAAGAAAGGATTTCAAGAGTGAGAAAAATTGGCTGATCTCTGAGTTCTTAGAGTTGAATAGTGGAAATATCTAATTGAGTTCTAAACAGTTTCAAACCATGTCTTTTTAACCATCTGGCATACCTTTAATTGTCAGGGTAATTTACTTCAATATGTCAGGGAAATCAGGGAATTTTATTTTCTAAATTCTGCGGCAACCCTGTTTCTAAAACCTCAGCATAACTACTGAGTTCATATATCGGCAAAAGCTCCTTCAGAATGTCAGTTCAGATTTCTATCAATTTTTATTTCGTAAGTTTCAAACTCCTTTGTTTTTCACTAATTTCTAGATGGCTCTGTTCTTCCCATGAATCGTCGACAAAGGGTCTACTCAAATGGGACACTGGTGATAGAGCAAGTGCAGCGGTCGTCTGATGCAGGGATGTACACTTGCCAGGCTCAAAACCGCCAAAAATACACTGCACGGCGAGACGTTGAAATTCAGGTTTTAGGTGAGTGGCAAAAATGGCAATTTTTCATGTTGCAAAGAGGGCCCAGCAGAATACAATGGACTCTCGATAATTCGAACTTGGATAATTCGAAAACCTCGTTAATTCAAAGGACAGTCTGTTTCCCTTGAAAATCTCTCGATAATTCGAAGAGAATCAATGTATTTTTCTCCCCTCATTAATTCGAAATTTTTCAGCCGGAGCTGCCCTCTATAATTCGAATATGCGACGATAATTCTCTCTGTAATTTGAAGTGTGGGAAGTAAATTGACCCTCACTCTATAATTCGAAATAAGACGGTACATTCCCTCTACAATTATAAGTCAACTCATTATGCACTTGGGTGTCTGAAAGAGCTTGACTTTTGACCTAAAGATTTTTGGGCGTAAATCCGTCCATTTGCCCCTCTATAATTCGAATTCAGATGGCGTCTTCCCTCTATAATTCGAAGCTCTCTAATTCGAAATTTCTCCACACGGAATCTCTTTAATTCGAACTCTGTTTATTTCGAAACCTTGCTCATTCAAAGAAAAAGCCGATTCCCTTCAATTTCAAAAATTAGAGAGTCCACTGTATGACGTATTTCCTCAAGGTAGGCGTGCTGTTCTGCGGAACTGATGTAAGACGCAGGGAGCTGAAATTCTCAATTTCACCATGGAACACTGTCAGAATACCTATCATTTGAACTGCATTTTGGGACAAGGAACTAAAATTTCCATCTCTTTTGTAAAAACACGAATTCCAAGAGGACATTTTATGGTACATACGGTGTTTTTACACTGAGCCAGAAACTGTAGCTCTAAATTGCGAAATGTAGTCCATATACTTCGGTGCTCCTCCTTCCTCTTCTTCTCAGTCTCTTGTACCCTTCACTCTCTTAATCTTTCAATGGAATACAAAATAAGTGCTCAAATATGCTTTGTGTTTTTTCAGTCCCTCCGAAAATCATGCCGATCCAGCCGATGACCAATTTGCTGCGGGAAGGAATGAGAGCAGCGATATCATGCCAGATTCTAGAGGGGGATCTCCCGGTTACATTTAAGTGGGAGAAAGACGGAGTGGACAGTGAATCGCTAAACCTGGGCGCCAATTTGAGGAGAATTGACGAGTACTCTGCTTCGCTCATCATCGAGAGAATCAGCTCCATGCACACGGGAAATTACACTTGCATCGCTCAAAATCTAGCCGGGATCGAAAAATATACCATACCCTTGACTGTGAATGGTGAGAATTCAAATTTATAAGTTTTTTGTTTCCTTTGCTTTGGTTTTGTTTTGTTTTTTTTTTTAAGATTTTATTGAGATTTTTACTGAGATTATTTTATTATCAGATTATGTTTTCTAAGTGGAAGAGACTGTTAGTTTGACAATTAAAGTGCTGAGTGCAGAAAAAGCATTTCTTGGTTGCAGTGTCTCAAAATCTCCATTAATGTTTAATCCATCATGATTAAAGCAAATTTATGTAATTTGCTTTAACTTTTCCTCAAAATGCTTAATGATGAACAATTTCAGAAAATTCACCCAATAGTTTCCTATCTAAAATAAAAATTATCATAGGAGATTCTGAAACACCGCAATCAAGAAATGACTTTTCCGCACCCAATGCCTCAATATTAATTTTATACTCGGTCTTAGTTTAATTTAAAAAAAAACAAGCAGAAAAATCCAACATGAATATGTTGGAAAAGCGTGCCGAATAACTAAAATGTTGGACACGTACCTACTATTTTCACGTCTTTGTTATTTGCATCAATTGGTACTTTTTGCTAAATTTGGGAGAAAATATTGATTCATGAACGTTGAATGTAAATTGATTTTAAAGATTCCGTCCAATTATCTTGATTTTAAGCTAATATGCGGCATTTCGCACGACCGTGATTTGGGCGAACTGCCGTGCATCGAAATCGCGTTGAGTTAATCTCTTTGGATTTCGAACTGTAACTTCTCTCCTATTCGGCCGATTTTTACAAATGAGGTCTCTTTTTATTTGTACTTTAACGGAAAGTAAGGAAAAACTCGCTAAATAGACGGAAAACAATTTTTGTGAAAATTTGGTGGATCCTGGCGTCACGGTGAATGGTTAATCGGGCGTGGAAGATACCTAATAGGTTCGACGAGGCGACCCTCTCCTCGCCGTCTTTTATTGCCTTGCTTGAAACCTGACACCCAAAGCTATATCGGGAGATAACTGCAGTGGTTTGAGTGGATTTCTGCAGGGGCCACGGTTAGTACATGGTATAAAGAGTCACGAGGCTCATCACAGATTGCACTTGCAGTGCAAGACGCTCATTGGCTAAACAGTTTTGGCGGGAAAGAAGGTTCTAGAGTTGAGTCCTCCGAGCGTAAGAAAGCTTCTATGAGGTTTTTGTCAAATGAAATAATACGGTTTTGACAGGAAAATGTTCTCAAGGGTTCCCAATTAGCAGTTCATTCGGTTTTTTGGTAAGAGACCATCAGGGCTTGACAGTATAATGGTTCAAAGACAAGAAAACGGATCCGAGGAAAAAAATATTTGGACGGCCCGTTGAATAGCATTGGTTGATCGGTGTGCTGTACTATGGTACATCCGAGTGATTTCAAAAAGCGAGCCCTACTGGCACGCTTAAAATCATTATATTTCCAATTTAATGAAAGATTCATACTCTTCAAAGATTAACCAGAAATGCTCACTTTCACTGATAAAACAGCTAATAGTCAACAGATCAGTACAACCTGCTTGGCAAAAATTGGTTGTGAGAATGTTGCAACGTTAATGCTGAAATTAATGCCTCCACCACGGTTTTGAAATATAATTTTGGCAGTTGAGTGGGAACTAAAGACCTGTCTGTGAGTATGTACTTATTTTTTAGTCTTGTGTTAATTTGTTAGACATACATTAGTTTCTTTCTTCTTTAGTCAGTAATTTGTCAGTCCTAGTTTTGGTTTGTTCCATACAGTAATGATTCTTTTTGTATTTCTGAGAATCATCATCAATTACATGAACCGTCATTCTTTTTTCTGTTTCTAGTTCCCCCCAGATGGACTGTAGAACCCATGGATTCCAGCGCAGCCTCAGGTCAAGATACAACGCTGAATTGCCAAGCAAGTGGATATCCTGTCCCAAGCATCATCTGGAGAAAAGCCATAGGTTTGTTTTTTTGTGGAAGCCTAAACAACACATAGCTAGGTATTGAAGTTTAAAATGAAGTAAGGTACTATAGAATAGGGGTGTTCAAACGAATTCTTGCCGGAACACTATCGGTATCGTCTTTTACTGAAACTCGTGGCAGTACCGACACTGGCGATGATTTGTAACAGCCGTCCTTATCGGAGTTTTGAAAGCTCGCATTCAATGCATTGTTGCCCCCGTGTGTTGGTTTGTCAGGTTTCCTGGCGGGGCGGTGCGTAAAATAGATTTACAAATGGCAGCAGCTTATTTTCGTCAGCTCTGAAAACTCAGATTGCTATCGGTAAGAGCAATCTTATTGTGACTTTTTCTTGACGGAAATGTCTTGGTAGCTTACCGACAACCAAGAGAACAGCCCTACTATAGAATTGGAATTTTAAAAAAATGCTTGGATCACAAGGCATTTGGTCCTGGCTAAATTTTGTTATTTATTTATCATAGATCTCTCAATCATCTCTTAATATCTTGCGTTGACTTTTCATGGATCAACTATTAATCTTTTTTCTTCTAATAATACACCCATTTCTGTCTTTAATTATTAAGTTGATTTCTTTTTCATCTTAGGAAACCACCCTGGAGAGTACAAAGATTTTTTATACGAACCAAATGTCAATTTTTATCGAAACGGAACCCTACTGTTTCGTCAGGTCTCAAAAGATAGCGAAGGACATTATTTGTGTGAGGCCAAAAACGAGATCGGATCCGGTGTCAGCAAAGTCATATTTCTCAAAGTTAATGGTGAGATTGGATTTTTTGGAGTTTTTATCTTTTTTCACAACCCTGAAACAATATTGTCCACCCTGAAACAATATTGTCCAAAACCCAGATCAACTTTTTTGATGAAGATTATGTATCCTCAGATGAAGACTCTATCTTCATGGAAAAACCCGCTCCGAGAGAAAAAATTCGGAAAACGCATTTCGACTCTCTTATTGACACCATTTCCGATGAAGAAAGTGATAATGAAGAGGAACAAATTGACAGAGAGATAAAGTTTTTTATCAGAAACGAAGACGGTACTTCCACCGAATATAAAACGCCTTCAAATGAGCGAGATGACAACATCACCGACAGCACGACAGTAAACAGCGGCTTTAAAGCAATTTTGGCCAATGTGAAGAAGAGGATAATTAGTACGAACTTAATCCAATCAATTGCAATTAAGAACAAATCAGGCATTACTCTCCTCACAGAACCAAATAAGCTAAAAGATAAACTAAACAACTACTTCACGTTAGATGACGAGAAAGTAGCTGTAAAGACTAACCCTAATCTAGTTGGATCCACCTCAAAATGGAGAAAAGACGAAAATTTCATAAGTTTCCAATAGAATAATTTATTGATCGTGTGCTGCTATCTAAATCCAAACAATAACACAGAAAAAATCTTTTTTCACCTTTTTAATTTTATTTTCTGTCAGATTGCTGTAAGTATAGGAATTTTCCAAAGTAAACTCATGGAGATCCGTAGTGTGTGGATAAGGTGTATTATTACAGAGTGTCAACCATCAGTAAAAACTGGAACCGGAAAATATTAGGAAATTTGATCCATCAGGGAAAAGCAGGAAAACGCTAAGAAAATCGGTCATGGATAAGGAAATGTGGAGTGGGCACAGCCTTTTTCAACTACATGCAGTTTAGCATGTGTAAAAATTAAACATTTGATCCAGTTCATCAAATCTGCTGGTTCGTAAAATCAAAAGAGAGTAAATTTATTCCCGCGCAAGTCAAGAAATCTCATGTAAAATATCAGGAATAATCAGGAAAATGTAATAAAAATCTGAAATAAAATTTTAGTGGACACCCTGTGTTTTCCAAATCACCGTGCTCTTGTATCCTAGCTAGTTAATCGAAAAAACAGGTACATTTATGCCCTTTTATAAACCAACGATGCAAATTTTTTTCCAAAAAGAAAATCGGAACTTTCATCTAAAGGATCCCCCTTTTAATATTTAGTTTATTAATGATTGGTGTGGAAAAAAAAACTTTGCACCGGCTAGAGTTTGTTAATGTATACAGACAAATATTATGAAATCATCTTAGAACTTGCTGCGGCAAATTTTTCACCAAAAACAAACAAGTTAAATCAAATCAAATTTTGGATACCTAGCGTGAGGAGATTTGTAAAACAAAACGTGGTTATGCCTTTTCTTTGATCAACTAAACAAAAAAATCTGCTGCCATTCACAAATTTGATTGTTTGGAGTAGTAGGTCAGAAAACAGTACGTAATGTTTTTTCTGTATCGTATTCCAGCACCAGCATACTTTCCACAAAAATCAAAGCAAATGCAGGTGAAGAAAGGTGAAAACGCCCACCTCCAATGCACGGCACTTGGGGACAACCCGATCGAAATTATGTGGAAACTGAATGGTCAGCGCATCTCTGAAGATATGGATATGAGGTAAGGCGGCTAGTTCAGGACCAATCCCTTCGATTTTAGAAAATAATAATGTCAGAGACCCCCTAGCCAATCGTAATTTTAAATCGCCGAAAATACCCCTTCCCACTTTTTCCGGCACCGAGAACGACCAGGATTATTTCCTCACATTAGAATCTGCTATCTTGGTGAACCAATACAACCCGGACTTAATTCCTTTGTTTCTAGAGTCGTATTTAAAAGACGAAGTGTTGTCTTTCCTTAAATTTCTGAAAAAATCAGACCCCCTTTTAAATTTTCAAAATTTGAAAAATAAATTTATCGAACAGTTCTCCATAAAAAATCCAATTGCTCTTTATCAGTCACAATTGGATTCCCTCACAATGGATGATTCCTCCATTACAGATTATTTGTTTAAAGTTAAATTTCTATGTAAAAATCTTAACCTCTCCCCCGAGTATACCATTTTTCACATTCTCAAGGGTCTTCCAATTCATGTTACCATATTGTTAATCATAACTCTGTGTAAGGGGGGGNGGGGGGGGGGGTGCTCAGGTGGCTGGGTAGAGCTGAGGAACAAGCCGGTTTGTAGAGTATTTTTTTTGGGTGAGATATGTATATTATTCACAACAAAACACACTTTTACAACAACTACTTCTGACTTCTACGACTACTTCTGACTTCAACAACTACTTCAAACTTCAACTACTACTTCAAACTTCAACTACTTCTTCAAACTTCAACTACTTCTTCAAACTTCAACTACTTACGCGTAGGGCTGCGGGCCTCTTGTATGAACGTTAGACCCCGGCACGTCGATTGATCAGCTGTTTTATAGCAGCGGACGAGGCGACCCATGGCCAAGACCGAATATTGGGCCCAATATTCGGCCCCGAGAAAGCTCGCCTCGCGCCGCTACCCAAAACAAGCTGAGCAAGAACGTGCCGGAACAGAAGTCGCAAACTCTACGCGTGAAGCCAGAGTTTGACCAAAATGGGTCCGTACATGAGATGTACGGCCCCGTTTCACTCTGTACCCCCATGACATGCTAGAGGAATTGGAAGATTCCATCAGAAAATTTTCAAAACGATACGCTGAACTCCAGATTCAAACAACCCCAGCCACCAGCCCACCGGCCGAAGATAAATTATCCGAATTAATCCAAATGGTCCGTCAACAATCGAAACAGATCCAAAAGTTAAACAGAGAATATAAGTCTAAACAGAAAATTTACCCTTCAGGTCAACATCCCCAGTCTACCAGTAAACCGCCTACCGATAATGGAACCCCTCCCCGATGCAATGTCTGTGCAGATCTCCACCCTACGGATTCTTGTAGTATACGTTTTTGCCGCTATTGCAAATGCTCTGATCATACAATCCAATTCTGCCCTGAACCGACTTGCGTAGAGGGTCCAAGATTTAGTCCATGATCCAGAAATTGACGTCTTTTTCTTTCACTTTGCTAAAAAGCACGAGGATAAAAGGATAAACCCCATATAACAGAAAATTCAGCTCGTCTGTTCCGGAAGGAACAGGAACATCGAAAACAGGTAGGTAGAAAAACTGACGGAAACAGATTTGTAAAAAGTCACAAATCGGTTTTGGCATAAAGTAGCGTCGAAGGGAGAGACCAGTTCGTCCAAAATCTTCTGCGTAAATTGAGAAGACGGGTTTAGGCACTATGTCGGAGAAGTCGAGTGCTTACCAAAATGGATGAAAGCACTATATCGGAATAAAAGAGTTTTTACTAAAGTTCTTTCGGCACCAGTTGATTTTATAGTGTAACCAACAAACTGATGATGGATAAGTGTCGAGGAAAAACACGAGAGTTCTTGAAATGACTTGTATTGAAAAACTTTTCAGAAATCACAATTTCACAAAAAGGTAGAGAGTCAGAAATTACACAAAAATGCACCGTAAAATTAAAGAGATTGGCACGACGTATCAGAGTACTGGGAATCTCTAAGACCGTGGAGGAGTACAGGTCTAGGGTCTACAAGATGGGAAAAAGACCTAGATTTTAGGGCAACCCACGCTTATATAGTCTTGCTGACGTCACCGGTGGTGAGACAACAAGCCTACGCGTGATTCGTTGGCTATAATCTATGTAGGTATCAGCTGCAAGTCTAGTAATTAATTTTATGGGTGATTATTGAAGATGGTTGGAGGATAAAGACTAAAAGTTGGAAAAGGGACTGAATCCAGCCATCCTAAATGAGACTTGAGAGAATAACATGAAAAATTTAAAAATAAGAGGGCAAAATATGAGAAGGTGTTGACATACCTTTAATTTCTGACAAGTGATTTTATTGGAAGACAAAAGATTGGATGTCAGATTGTTCAAATTTGATCCAAAATTGTTCAAGTGTTCGACATCATTTGTTGAACGCTCAAATGTGTTTACGATATTTACCTGCTATTAGAAATGGCATTGGATTCTTGTTCGTTTGGTTTTGAATATGTGCAGCTAAGAAACGTCTTTCAAAATAAGGACTACAAACTCTTGAAAGTTAAGCAAAGTAAGAAAAAGGTGTATTTTTTCTTGAATTTCTGTAACTTTAGACTTTTTGAAAACAAGAACTTTGAACTAATTAATTTTTATGTTGACTAATGACTAAATTACAGCGACTAATACACCTTTGAATTGAGCAGGTATTCTGTAAGAGAGCAAGTACTGGATGAAGGGACTGTTTCGGAATTAGGTATAAGACAAGCCCATCGACACGACACGGGAGTTTTCACTTGCTATGCCAGTAATTCTTACGGACAGGATGAGATGAATGTACAGCTAATTGTTCAGGGTAAGTTTTTTTTTACATAATTTGCGTTTTTCTGGATTTTGTTTCACACTTATGTTTCTCTACAATTATTATCACAGTTGGAAGAAATCAGCAAATCTTTATCTCTTTGTTGTATCTTCAGTTTCCAATGAACTGTTTTTCAGTTAATTTTAAAGTTGAGTCCCCTCTTCGCAAAGAAAATGTTTGGCTAGGCATTTAGTCACTTTTTACAACTTTAATGACTTACGAGTCAAGACAGAATTTTCATTTTTGTTTGTTTTTAAACGGCATGAAATAAAACAATGTTACATCTAAAAGATGAATATGGAAATAAATGAGACACATTTTCACCACAGGTTAATGATTTTTCGGGCCTTCAAACGATTCCTAAAATCATGGAATCAAGCCATCAATACAGACCCTCAGCCTCAAAAACCAGTGTTGATGATGTCATTTACTGCTTCAAGGCATATCATGGTTTTTTTTATACCAATTTTTTTATTGCCTTTCCATGGTCATCATTATCAATCATCACTGACAGATTTGTTACTGAGAAGTTTAGAGTTTAACTATCGTCAAAATTGTTAGCAAATCTATAAGTACCAGCCATTGAAACATAGTTTTGTGTTTTGTCTTTCAGGAAAAAAAAAAAAAAATACAGCTTTCTTTGACTTTTTTCTTCAGATTAGTGAAATATTTTGTGTTTTCTGTTTCCAGAACCACCTGAAATGCCAAAGAACATCCGAATAATGGACCAACAAAGTAGATCTTTGCAGTTGTCTTGGACTCAAAGCTATGCAGGAAACAGCCCAGTTATTAATTACATCGTTCAGTACAAATTAATTTCAGGTAACTGAATACTTGCTTTTAAAGACTTTCATATCGTCATGTTTACTGTCCTCATGAATCTCGAATCATGTCAAACTTTTTTTTAGTTCGTCAAAAATATTTGAGACCTAAGATTTTCTTGAAAGACCAAAACATCTTTTTAACTTTTCATGATATTCCAAGAAAACCATCTCCATGTATTAACAAGCCCTCCATTAATGGCGAAAAAAATATTATTTGAAACAAATATTATTAAAATTTTGATATAATGACTTCAGATATAATAACCCAGCCTCCTCAGTAATAAATAAATACAGGAGAAACATTCTATTATCATGCAGTAAACGATTTCAATTAAATAAAAATTACAGCGTACTATAATTCACACATTTGTCTCAAAGATGAATATAATAATTATTGAGATCATCAATAAAGCTAAAATTTATCTGTCATCATCAGAAACATGGCCGTATGTTTTGGGTTACATCCCCCTTTCAATAGCTGGAAATTAAAAAATCGGTGAAATAATTTGGAAACCGATCAGTTTCCTGATTGGTTTTTTCATTTATGATTAACCTAAGAATTTATTTTATTTTTTTTTTCAGATTTGTGGTCTGCTCAACCCGCAAAAGTCGTAATTCCAGGAACTGTAACCTCCGCTACCCTGGAAAATTTACTTCCTGCCAGTTCTTACCATTTGCGGATTATTGCTGAAAACAAACTCGGAATGAGTGACCCCAGTGAAGTTATTCAAGTTACCACTCAAGAAGAAGGTGAACATCTCTTCCGTTTCAACTTAAAATTTGTTCTCTAGCTTTCGTTGAGCGGCTTTACATAAAAACTGAGTACACACAGTGTGATATATTTCTCAGATTTTTTTATTTTTTATTTTCAATTCATAATTACTTTGAACATTATTTTAGAGTATACAGGGCTCATTTTTACGTTAGAGAAAATTAATACATGCCCCAAGATCATGTATAGTGAGTAGAGACGCCAGAAATATTTCTGGCGATTCGTGCAAATTTACAAAAAGTCGTTTTTAGGCACTTGGACCAAGTTCAGAGGCATCATGGAGTTCTGTTGATGTCGAATATGTGATCAAGAATTTCGCGAATTTCGGCATTTGACGCAAATTCTGGCGCAAATTCGCTATTTTAAACCACGAAGTCGCGAATGTCTATGTGCTGTTGCTGGAAAATGATATTTATCGAGTTTGGAGCTGCCGATCATTCTAGTGGGGGGGACGCAGGATTCTTTGTGAAACTTAGGTTTCCTTCTGAAAGCATGATCATGATTTTTATTTATCTGAAAAAGAGTTTCCAAACTGTACCTAAAATCTCTAAATTCCTCACACTATCGTTTTCGGCAAGAGATGAAAAGATTCCACATTTTCAGCAAGAATTTGGCAGTTAGTAGCAAGAAGTTTAGAATTTTCGGCGGAAATTTTTGGATTCCCAGTGAGAACTTTAGGATTTTCAGCAAAAATTTCAGGATTTCCAGCAAGAATTCGATAAATGTGGTAAAATTGAAGCAATTTGGCAGATTTCAGCAAGAATTTTTGGATTTTTAGCCAGAATTTGGGTCCATATAAATCACGAGAAAATGGGGTCTCCTATACTGAGAAGTTGAAAAATCATGCATGTTCAACCCAAAGAAGTCTTATTTTCTACATCTGTCCTAATTTTAATTGCTTTTTTATTCGTTGTAAATCATCAATGTCATCAAAATTATGTTCCCTCATCTTTCATTTTACAAAAATTCATTCAAGTGCACTGGTAGGTTTTTTGAAAATTACTATGTCAAATGAACATCCAAGGGCATGATTTTGCATGCTTTAAAATGAACTCCTCAAAAATCTCAGAATGCATCGGATTATAGGCTATTTTCCATTAAGTCAACCATTTTTTGCAGAACAGACTCGCAAAAAACTACTTGCAGTTTTTTGGTTCCTAGTCAGACCCTAGTGTCTAATGAAGATTGAATTTTTGAGGGCGGGTCTTCAGGCCTCATTAATATGCATCCAATTTTATCAATTTTAATTAAGTTTACATCAAATGTCATCGAATTTGACAAATTCACCATTATGTTTATAAATGTTTAACCAATTTTTCAATATTTCCGTTCCAGCGCCTACTGGTGCCCCTCGCGAAGTCAAAGTCGAACCTAAAAGCTCAACTGAGCTTCATGTTAGTTGGGAGCCTCCACCGCGCGATTCATGGAATGGGAACCTCCTTGGATACTACGTTGGTTACCAAGAACTTTTAGCTCTAGTAACGTCATCCCCGGCATACCTCTCCACACCCGCCCAAAGTTACAACATGAAGACAGTAGAAATCGGCTCGCAGTTTGGAGGAGAAATCATCACTGGACTGGCTACGTTTACGACATACTCTGTGGTTATCCAAGCGTTTAATAGCAAAGGCACTGGACCATTGTCAGAACCGGTGATTGCTCGAACTCTCGAAGGAGGTGAATTGCATATCTATATTTTTTGTGAATAAAGAGTCAATCCTTTAAATGTCATGAGGTTTTTTGATTTTTGCTCCAGCCAAAACCATAAGTATATGATTTAAATAGGTTTTTTGAAGAAAATTTGTGTTCAGACAAGAAGAAAGACTTTTGTCTGAACTTCTCACATCATAAAAATATTTTTTTGATAGTCCAGAAGGATTGCATTTGACCGAAAAGAACCAGCTTGATTGCGGCGATTTAAAAATCATACACTTTCATATTTATCAAATTCTAGTTTTTCTACTAAAATAATTCTAATTTAAAAAAAGTTATCGTCTGAATTTTCTTACCACTGAATTTACATTTAGTATTTTTCACAGCAAAGAAGTTGATTAATTAAAAAAAAACGGTAATGAAGGTGGTTTTCTTCTTTTTAATTCAATTTAGTTGAACGTTTTCTTTACGTTAGGGTGTTGACAACATTTTAAAAATTAAAGGTGACAGTTTAATTTTGCACAAATGGATAACTTGGTGAATTTCCAAGGAAGATTAGGTAGAATTTTCCTCTCTGAACCATCCAAACTTACCTAGTAAAATTCCCAGGCTGATTTTTCAGCAGATCACCTGTACATAAAAGAGTTGAACCAAATTTAGCAGAGACGCACTGTGTCGCATTTGAGAAGAAATGAGTTGGGAGTAGTTTTGAATTCAACTAGTAACACATTTTCTTCTGTCAAATTCTTGAAGTTGAGGAAGAGTATTTTGATCATGAAAATAGGCTTCAAACTTAGACCTTAACATTGAGTCGTAGGCAATTTTGTTTCAATTTTCTGGAAAATACGATTTGCTAGCCCTCGCTCATGAATTCATTAAGATGATTTGACGGTTGCCGTTTTTTGTGTCAGAGTGACGTGCGATATATTACATCAATTCATCCCATAATTCAGCTACTTGTCATTTTTTTCGAATTTTAAGATTGCACTTCTGTTGTCATGAGACTAAAGAATTCATGTACCAAATTTGACAAAGAAATTCAACGTATTAAAGGCAGGGTTTTTTCAAAGGAAAAATATCGCATTTGAGTGCAGTTTCGATATCAGTATCGAATGCGATATTTTTCCTTTAAAAAAACCCTGCCTGCAATATGTTGAATTTCTTTGTCAAAGGTACATGAATTCTGTAGTCTCATGACAACAGAAGTGCGATCTTAAAATTCGAAAACAATGACAAATAGCTGAAATTATGGTACGAATTGATGCGATATATCGCACGTCGCTCTGACACAAAAAATGGCAACCGTCGAATCGCCTTAAGGCTTTTCCATTGTAAAGAGAGAGAAGGAAAAAGGAAAATGGAGTAAAGACTAAAACAAGAGGAAGTTTATACATTTTACAGTTATCTAAGTGAAGTTCTTGGTTTTCCTGTTCTCATCATTAATGCGTTATTTTTCCTCTTTTTTTCTCCAGCTCCGACACTACCTCCTGAGAAAGTGGTTTGCTCAGCAGTTTCATCCTCTAGCCTTCAAGTTCAATGGGAGCCACCTCTTCCTGAAGGCAGAAATGGAGTCATCCAAGGTTACAAGGTCTCTCATCAACCCGCTGAGGATTGGTATGGTAAGTCTTTGATTTTATAGACAGGGCGTCTACTGTTAGCAAAAAGTATGCATACACTGAAAAGGCACGAATTTTTGAAGGTCGGTACAGAAATACAGAAAAAGTAAGGAAATTCGATTTTTTCGTAATAAACTCTTAAAAGTAGCCTTGAGGGTATATGTTTTCCATTTACTAAGTTCCTGGATAGATTCCTTGCGTTTTTTGGTTTATGCCTTTGTCATTCCATCATATCACTTTCCCAATCCGAATACAGTTGAAAATGTGTGTGAGGTGAGGAAAAAGGGAAAAGTAAGGAAAAGTACGCTTGTTATCCTGAACGGATACACTGAAAAGGCACAAATTTGGGAAGGTCAGTACAGAAGTACACACAGAAAAGGTACGGAAATTTGATTTTCTCGTAATAAACTCTAAAAAGTAGCCTCGGGGGTATACGATTTCCATTTACTAAGTTCCCGGTTAAATTCCTTGCGTTTTTTGGTTTTTTCCTTTGTCATTCCATCATTTCCTTTTTCCAATCGGAATACAGTTGAAAATGCGTGTGAGGTGAGGAAAAGGGGAAAAGTAAGGAAAAGATAAGGAAAAAGCAAGGATTTTTAAGAATCACCAAAAAATGAATTTTCGGAAAAGTAAGGAAAAAGCAAGGAAAAGTTACTGCATGAGCAAGGAATTTTAATGGCAGATTACCAGCAGACACCGTGGATAGAATTTCATCTAATCCTGTTTCTGCATTTTTGCAGGCCATCACTAAATCTGCACAAGTTCTTCAAAAATTAAAAGAAAAAATAATTAATCATGAGTCATAACGTCTTAAAAAGAGTTAATCTATATGATGGCATGGCAACTGGAATAACCTGTAAGCTTCTCTTCTCTCCAAAAATGAAGAATTTCAGATATCAAACCCCAGATGGCGAAATCAAAGTTAAAAAGTTATCAACTTTTTTCAGTAACCTGTGAATATTTTAAAAATGTTATCAAAAATGAAAAACTCACCAGTCAGAGGGGAATTTCTCTAAAATCCAACAAGTTTCAACAGCTTCGGTCATCTTCTGGGATGCAATACTTGTGACTTCTTGAGTCGCGCCCCAAAAGATGACCAAAGTTGTCAAAATGCGTCAGATTTTAAAGAAATTCTCCTCTGACTAGTGATTTTTTAATTTATTTCAATAATATTTTTAATGTTTGACTCTAGTCTGGTACTTTTCAACAAAGTTTTTTAAAGTGTGAATGTATTGATTCATTTTTTCTCATCATGAAAGATCAACTCATCGTTAAAAGAAGTATTCTTGAATAGACAAAGATAAAAAATTTGTTTTTCAATTTTTTTAAAAAAGAAATTATCCCAATAAACAACAAACAACGCCTGCTTTATTCATGTAAAGTCTTCTTTAATAGCACCTGTATAGCTCTCGTTGAGCAACTAGTACACTGAATTGCCTGTGATAAAAAATTATTTTTGAAAAAAAAAAAATTCCCTTAAATTGGAGGAAACTGAAATATATTTTTTATTCCATCACACTAAATCTAAATAAATTACTGTACTCTCCCGAATTCTTTTTACTTAGGCAGGTGATGATTTTATGTTCCAGAAAGAGAAGACTTCGAGACAAAGGTCACAACAGCCATGAGGACAAACATTCCAGGCCTGTTCAAATACACCAACTACAGCATCTCTGTACTAGCGTTCACTGCCAGTGGCGATGGAGTGAGAAGCCCGTCCATCTACTGCCGCACCGAAGAGGATGTGCCTTCAGCGCCCGCCGACATCAAGGCTTCTCTCAGCTCAGCCCAAAAAATACTCGTCTCCTGGCTACCGCCCAAGAATCGGAACGGGGAATTGACCGGGTACACTGTCTACTATTCGACTGTCGACAGCAACAATCGGGAGGAAGGACCGCACAAGAGACAAGTTTCTATTGATCTGGAGGAATATGAGATCATCCGACAGCAAGAAAGTGCCGTCTATCGATTTTGGGTGACCGCATCCACGAAAGTCGGTGAAGGGGAAAGTACAAAGGTTGTAAATGTAGCACCCTCTAAGAAGGTCCCTGCAAAAATTATCTCATTCAGTCAGACTTTGATCACACCTTGGAAACGTAACCTGACCCTGCACTGTAAGAAAGTAGGCGTCCCCCTGCCACAAGCAGTTTGGCGAGCTAATGGTAAAATTGTCGACTCGAACGGTCGATTCTACATCCGGAAAGACAGCACCCTGGCAATCCGTGACATCCAACACTCCGATGGTGGAAACTATACTTGTTTCGTTGAAAATCAATTCGGGAACGATGAAATCACCTATCGACTAGTGGTGCGCATTCCTCCTGCCCCACCACAGTTGATGGTTGTTGACGAAGACACCGATAGTTTAAGTTTACAGTGGGCCAATCAGCCGCAACTTGATATTCCGATATTAGGCTACGTTATCAACTATAAACGAGAACATGGAGACTGGGAAGAAGTTCATATTGACTCAAAGTCCGACTCAATTACATTACGAAATCTTTGGTGCGGCACTCGATACCAACTTTACATCACTGCCTTTAATAAAATTGGCACTGGGCTACCCTGTGATATTGTCAACGCCCATACCAAAGGCACAACACCAATTAAACCGACCGCATCTCAGGTTTTAACTGTCAATTCAAGCGCTGTTTCCGTCTGGTTGGATGCATGGGGTGACGGAGGATGCCCTATCTTGTACTACATCATCGAATATCATGCAGACAATCAGGCTGAGTGGTTGCTCAGCAGTAAACCCGTTCAGCCAACAGAACGAGTTTATACGATATCGAACTTACTGCCAGCAACAAAATATTTTTTAAAAATTACAGCACACAATAATATTGGCTCAGCTGTAGCGGTGTATAATTTCACAACATTAACGATAGATGGCGCGACGGTCACGCCTGAACAGACTCCAGTTGTCAGTGATCCAAGCTCATCCTCGTTTTTTAGTTTATTTACCGTCGTTTTTCTTATCATTTTAGTCATCATGGTATCGGCTGCTTTTGTGGGTAGCTTTTTCTACTTCAGGAAGAAGCGATTGGAGCCGCTGACTTCAAACGTTGCTGAGTCTATGACCATTGCAAGACTGCAGAATCAGCAAAATAGAGATCAGCAATACGGAGTGCGAGGTCAATCGCAGCAGCTGAGCATCGACTCGAACACTTATAAGACTGACTCGACTGGTAAATTGAAATTTTTCTGTTCATACATTCTTGCTGATTTTTTGGATTATTTTTCTTTTGTAAAGCAATTCTGGAGAAATTATCATAAGGTCCCAATTAAGGACCAATCTAACTAATGATGAATAATGATGTGTAACTATTATTGTTCATGACCAGATATGTGAAAAGGTACTTTATCTTGTAGAAAAACATTTTCTGTGACTTTTTGCGAAAGGATAGAAGAAGAAACTCTTGAAATGTTGGTCCAAGTTTGACCCAGAGAGCCCAAAAATTGAAGAAGATATGAGCCTTAAAGTTCCAAGAAAAAAATCTTTAAGTTTTAAGCTAACATAGTGTTCAGAAACATTTTCTTTCAGGACAAAATGTAACAGATTTGGTTTTTGCGGACTTTTGCAATGTCCATGACCTACTGTTTTTTAGCATGGCTCTTTCTGAAGTTCAATTCTTTCAATGAAAATTTGAGGGAAAGGTGGGGATTTCTTTTGTATAGGCGTAAAGACATGTTAAAATGTTTTATCCCAAATAATTAGCCCTTCATAACACTTTTAAGTGCGCTTATAAAAAAATTTCCACCAAAAAATTTTGAAATAGTGTGTCGTGTCAATGATTGTCTGACTTTGTTACTCACCTGATGTCATTTTTATTCCTCTCAGATTATATCGAAGATATCTGCCCATACGCAACTTTTCAATTATCCAAAGCTGCCTACAGTGAAAGCTCATATAGTGGTAATATTTACAGTGGCCCATACCATTCGGTTCGAGGTTCATTTGTCTATCATGATCTTCCATCGACAGCTGCCAATACTTATAAATCGAGGCATGTAAGTACCTGTTTTGCACATTCATGCAAAATTTATAATTGTCACGAGTATTCTGTATCCATACTAGTAATGAATAGTCAGGGTGTCTAGCATCAGTAAAAACCGGAAAATATCAGGAATATTAGCCGATCAGGAAAAAATCAGGAAAATACCAGGAAAATCAGAAAAACCAGACGTTTTATCAGGAATTTTTCTTACGCAAATCTTCTCAGCAGAAAAAGTCAAAATGCCTTTTGCCTACCGTGCCAGGAGTCGACAAAAATCAGGAAAATATCTGGAATTTTCAAAATGAAAAAATTAGGAATTTTCAAAATGAAAAAATCAGGAATTTTCAAAATGGAAAAATCAGGAATTTTCTAAAGGAAAAAATCAGGAATTTTTTTGTAAAATATCAGGAAAAATCAGGATTTTTCAAAATTAAAAAATACTAGACACCCTGATAGTTGATGCTTTAGTAAGCAACCAAAACATGTATCCTCAACTTTGCTATTTTATACGGGAACTGTAGTGGCTTCATAAAGTTTCACAATTTACTCCGTCACAAGTCGTTACTTCTTGGACAAAGGAACGTTACTCCATTCCAAGTCCGCCAAACTGAATGGAACAATTTAATTTTTTACGAGGAAGTATCTTTGCAATTTTTGTCTAACATTTTTAATTTGCATGATTTTTGCTGATTTTTTCATGAGATCATCGGAAAAATTAGTGTAAAACTCAGTGAGAAGTGCCCAAGATTCTCCTTGGAAAAATGTGTTTTGCAAGAGGTAATTTGGCAACATTGATTTGTTGTTCGTTCTTTTGTGAGGACAATGACAAAGTGTGTTAAAAATCTCCTATGAGAAATTTTATTCCTGGCTTTGCTGTTGTGAATCTTGACCAATGAATGGCTCAAGTGTCCCCTGACCCTCAAAAGAAGAGAAGAGATGTAGTTTGACTTCGCAAGTTTAAATATTAGTGCCTAACACAGAGTGAAGCAGCATGTTGCTGGCGCAAAAGGTGCACTGGCGCCTACGAACCTACAGGGATACTTCATGCATTGCGCAATGCTTGAAGTATCCCCATAGGTTTGTAGGTGCCAATGCGCTGGCTGGTCATTCAACGCACCGCAGCATGCCATGGCGCCTCAAGCAACTATTTCACAACAAGGGTGTTACACAGAAATTAAAGGAGCTCTAACATATTAAGAATGACAGGCATCCTTTAAGGTTACGGAGCATCCCTTGCAAAATAAATCAAGATACCACGGCACAAAAAAAGAGCGGTAGTCCAATAACTCACTAAGTCCTAGCATCCATATTTAAAAACGTTTAGCATAATATTTGAATTTCATTTGAGAAAAAAGTGACTCAATTTAGGCAGAAACATTCTTGAGTATGCCGTCAAGAAGATTTTATTTTGAAACAAGAATAAAATAGCTGAATGAAAGCAGGTTTCTGCTTGAAGTAAGTGACTTTTTTTACATAGGCATTTTTCTTTTTTAAAGAAGCATTATTTTCTCTATTGATTCGTTAGGAAATCTTCTCGGCAGTAAATGAGCCTATTTCTGCTTGAATCAAGTCACTTTTTCCTCTAATGAAGTTTAAAAATCATGCTAAACGTTATTGAATACAGGTATTAGGACTTAAAAAGTTTTTCGATTACCGCTCTCTTTTGGTTCTCGTTACTCGATTCAATTTGCCAGGGAATTTCGTGCTTTTGAAAGATGCTGTCAATTATGATTTGTTGGGATGCCTTCAATCTCGTATGATACTGTGCAAGATCTTTGTGATGAAATGCCGGCGCCGTTGCGAAGTTATCTTACACACGTGAATTCTAAGAGCCTCTAGCTAAAGCAAATCAAAAGGTTTATACAGTTCAGGATAACAAGATGGGATTTTTTCGAAAGACATTAAGTCTTGTTGCACCAAAGAGGTGTAGATAGTTTTAGTGAATTTTCCCTCATGGAATTGACGCTCACCCATTTTTACCAAAAATCTCAACTACATATTTTCTCTTTCGGACCAAACAAACCAAGAAAAACAAGGAAACCCTCATCCTTCCAATACATTTTGAATTTTCGTCCAAAAACATTGTTACATGTGGACCAGTTAACTTTTGGTCTTAATTGATAGGTAGATGGACCAAAACTCCCCTGCCGGAAACACGCGTGGACGTAAACTACTAGAAGAAATAGGTGCGAAGGCAATCGTTGACGATATGTCCTATAACCGGAATAAGCAAACCCACGCAAACTTCTCAGAAAAGACCACAATAAAAAGACCTCTTTTCCCTTCTTTTGCACTCAAGTTAATGTCAGGGTTGCCACAATCAGGGAATATCTGGAAAACTGGGAAATTTCCAGGAATTCTAAAAAGTTAGGGAAAACCTAGAAATGTCAGGGAAAATCGTTAAGCCACTTTTATTTGCTTTCCAGTATAGGTTTGACGTCTTGAACAAAAAAAATTGCCCAAAAACTATTTCTAATTATGTCTTTTTAGTTTTTAACTATCTGGCATATCTTCAATTGTCAGGGAATTCTAGCAAAAGGTGTCAAGGAAATCAGGAAAATGTCAGGCAATTTCATTTTCTAAATTCTGTTGTAGATAATGTTAGTATTCCTTTTCTCATTGTTGCTTCTCTGGTTTCAGCGCAAGGAGCCTGAATATACAAAAGTTAGAAGAAAAGGGAGCAAGTTAAGGGATCCGCATTCAGAGAGTCAAGGTAACTTCTTTGACTTTTTTTGACTTAAGAATTACTTTAAAGGAGTATGGCTCACTTTTCTGCAAAACTGTACTTACTGCATTAAATGCAAAGGCTAATGACCAAGGCTGTATTGCTTCTTTAAAAAATTATCTGACTCAATGACTTCTCATCTCACAATGCTATTCATCCACCATAATTATTTGGATTACATTTTCCAATGAGGAACGATTTTGGTCATTTGTAAAACCACCTATCTGCACAGGAAATTTATGGCACATACTTTGTCTCTAAAGTAGGCTGAAAATTGTACTTCCAAATTGCAAAATTATGTTCATTCGATAAGCTGTCAATCAAGGCTCAACAATCAGCCTGCTGAAATGAAAAATTCAAAATTAATCTAGGTGTTCCCAAGGTAATACATAATTTCGTACACGAGAACTCAGGTAAATCCCTTTGCACATTGCTTACAAGAATACAGTAAGACTTCGAATTATCGGATCGCAATTTAGCGGATTCCGCAATTCAACGGATTTGGCCTCCGGTCCTGTGAAATCCTATAAATCGAGGTCTTAATGTAGAATGACAGATAAATTTAGATGAATCTGAACGGAACCACGGCAGTTTATTAAAGTAGCATTATCATAATGTATGAATGAAAGTGGATTTTTTTACACCGTCTCATATAGTATATATTTTATTCTACAACTTTTTTAGAGTTTTTTTTAAGGTAAAATGATAGAAGCAGACCTATGTCACATTGATTTGCTAACATCAAGTTTTTGAAATATTCATATCATTTTGTTGTTCCTCATCGTGAGCTCTTCTCAGGGTGTCTACAGACCCTCAAAAACCTGCATTAGTCAGTGAGATGTATTCTACCAAAGTATATTCAGGGAATGAGATAATATGCAAGGAATTATACCACACAGATCTTAAGAAGATCCATTGTTAATTTAGTTCACAAAAAATAACTCCACTGACTTTCATGACGAGAATACGCGAGGCTCCTCATTGTAGTTAACTCAGTTATAAATGAAGATGATGCATCCTCCGTTGCTCTCTTGAAGCGCTCAACTTAAATGGGTTTTTAAATTTAAAAAAAATTGCCAACGAAAATGAAATTATGTACTTCTCTTTATTCTTTGTAAGTGACTGATAGATACTTTTTCTAAAAGCCAAGGAATTGTTTTTTAATTTAGAAAAAGTTGAGGAAAATCTAGGATTTTCTTAAAAACTTCTGTAGACACCCTGTCTTGTATGAGTCGAAGAAGCCTCTTTACCATTTTTTTGAGTGCACTTTTTTGTTTTTCAATTGTTTGATTTTCCAATTTTTAATCCTAACCTTCATTTTTCTTGAAATTTTGGAAATGAGGTTAGGCATTGTGTTTGTGTGAGTAAGCGATAGGCTTTAGGAGTGTGGTGTTTCAGAGTCTGACAACTTGGGGAGCACTGATAGTGAAGTAAAGAAGATTCTAACGTTACACCTGCCTATTTCAGAGTATGACACTCTTGGAAGCGACTCCGAGGGCGAAGACGGAGCACAGTCGCAAGAATTAGTGTCGTTCAGGCACCGGCTTGGAAGAGGTGAGTCTAATATCTCTCAAGAACAACTAAATCAAACCTTAAATGGACCACAAGATTGGGTACAAAATGAAGCATCTGGATATGTTTATTTTTCAAAAGTTTTTGTAGAATATGATGAACGCACAAATTTCCAAACGCAGCTCACAATTAGGTAATGACGGTTTTTGTGTACTTTTATCATGGTGTCTAGGACTGGAAAAAACTAAGATCTATCAGGAAATATAAAATTTCAGGGAAAATCAGGAAATATTCAGGGAATCAGAATATCCATGCTACAGACAGGAAATTTCTTCTTCTGCCATTTAGAGCCCATTTTTAAGATGTATGTTATAGCAGCTGAGCTGCCATCCTTGACCTCTTGAATCTTCAAATTGTCAGAATAATATGAAGGCTTTCATTGACTGGATGATACAAACATTATAAACGCTTTTGGAATTGAAAATTCTAATATCTCCCCTGTAAGTTGATTTTGAAAGTTTTAATATGTTCTATGTATTCTGCTTGAAATTTTGATGAAGAAATATGTACTATAGTGCTTTATTTTTTACCAGTGATCCAACACACCGAAATTAATCATGAAAGTTAAAACCTCTGCAAACGGATGGATAAATTTGCAGTATCGCCAGAAAAATTTCAATAACCAGAGAACTGATTGGGTGAAAATTAAAAAAGCAACGAAGTTTTTCAAAAGATAAGAGAATATACTTATGAATATCATGATTATGTTTCATATGCCTTGAATAGTTTTTAAAAAAGGAAATGAGGAAAAATACTTCTTCATAGTTTTGATAGCTCTCGTCAAGATATTGCGTTTTTCTGTAAACTCGACAGTATTGAACACTTCTTGATTAATAATGAACTTTTATGCTATCAACCTTGTGACCTCTTGACCTTATGCTTTTAATGGTCAAAGTTTTTGCTAAAATCAAAAAAATTTATCAGCGTAGTCATTGATTCTCTGATTCTATGTTCACGACGTTTAGAGATAAATAATCCGTGTTTAACAGAAGTGGAAAGTTCTGGTACTTCGGTTTCCTCAAACGTTCAGGGTACCGAATTCCAAGCAGGTAACTCTCCATTGAATGTCTCGTGGAATGAAATGCTTGCAGTTCGTTTTCAATTATTATGATGCACTCACTAGACCCAAGAGGCTGTGTTCAACTTATGTTATGCACTTATTTCAATGACTCCATTGCCACTCCCACCCCTTGAAATGATCCCGTTGCGGAAACATACATCCCTCCCCCCCCCTCCAGATCTATTTAATATCGGGTACAATTCCTGGATTTTTTCATGAGTTTTGACCCTGGTTTTTTTCTGACAAAAATTTAACATCTTTTTAAACTTAGATTTTTAAATAATGCTCGGCTTGTTTTCAAAATCTCATCAAATTTTTTTACCATTTGTTGTTCCAAACAGTTCACAATTTTTCAAAACTGGATGACTATGCCCCGCTGGTTTTTAATTCCCTTTGTAATTGAATTTTTGGCAATTTATGGCCTTCAAATCTTTCCCCCCCAAAAAATTACTGCAGCCTCTTTAAATTCGATCATTACGTAGCTGTTGGAAGTTCCCTTCTTGCAAAACAACTCATCTCTTTGAAGTATGTCGTATGTCGTCACTCATCAGTGCCATCCTGTCTAAATTGTATTTCCTCCCAAAATTAACGTTTAAAAGTTATATTTTCCCCAAGACTAATTATTCAGGCAGGGTTGCCACAGTCAGGGAAAACTGTGATTACCAGGAAATTTCAGAGAATTTTAAAAAGATAGGGAAAGCCGAGAACGTCAGGAAAAAGGACGAAAATTCAGAAAAAAATTGTCAAATCACTTTAATTTTTCTCTTGGATGAGTTTGACGTTTTAAACAACAAATGCTGCAGGAAAACTATTTAAAATCATGTATTTTTAACCATTTGTCGTGTCCGTACATGTCAGGGAATTTCACCAAAATGTGTCAGAAAAATCCGGAACATGTCAGGGAATTTCATTTTCTAATTTCTGTGGCAACCCTGTTCAGAGTTTAATACATAGTCAATTGACATTAAACTGTTTACTGCAGGAATGTTGTGCTTGCTATATACTCCTCAAACTAATGCACACTCAATAATATTGCAGCCAATTACCCTGTACTATCTCCTGTGTTTTGGTAATCTGCATATCCCTCCAAAGTATGACCCTAAAGTAGCTAGCCAGAATGAACATTCTCAACCCAAATTTCTAGTTTTCGAAGTTTCTTGCCTACAGTTTGTCTCTTAAAGTGTAGTGCACATAGATTAAAGGTCATGGATTCTCTCCACTAGCAATTCCTCTAGCTAATCATCTCACTAAGAGTGCCGCAATTTTATTTAGAAAATATTTAATATCAAAATCATTTTGATTATTTTGGTTTTTTGAGTTTTACTTTCTCAATTTTCTAAAAATGAGTAACACAAATGTGGACGGTTTGCTCCGATATATCAATTGAAAAAACAGGGATGTAATTTTCAATCTGCTTTTCTCATGCATTTTAATCCAAAGCTTACAAATCTTTCCATTACTTGTCAATCGTAGTTCCTAAAGAGACCTACAAACTCTCAAATCAAAATGATTCTGATATTTAGATAGATTTTGCCTGAGTCCACCTTTTTATCAAGTAAGAATTACACTGTAAGTGCTCGTATTTCCAATAAAAATTTGGTCCGAAATTTTTCCCATTTTTCTCTTCAGAATTCTATAAAAAAAATTCTGAATAACTTTAGGCCACAAAAAAAATTACCAGAAGTTGAACTGAAATTTCTCAAGATTATTCGTAAGATTTGATTGAGAAATAAATTAAGAAATACAAACGTCAAATGTCTTTTGATTGCATTTTTGACTGCATGACCTTCAAAAGAATACCTGCATTTTCCCTCCAAAACTTTTTTCATCTCATACATAGAACTCAGTTTGTTTCAGGGACAATTTTTACAAATCATCAGTGACACTCAACAGTATAACATTGGGAATGGATTTTTTTGAGGCACTAAAATAAAGTTCCACCACAAAACATATGAAATACAAAAGACAAAATATTACCGGTTTTCTCGAATTTTTTAGGAATAATTTATTTACAATTAGTCGGCAGGACATCTTCTGTTTTTAGTGTTTTTTTTTTCTTTTCTTTTCTTTTGTTTGTTTCTTGTTTGAAAAGTATTAAATGACCTTTTTTAAATCTAAATAATGATTTTTTCTCATTTTTTTTTTTTATTTTTCTTACAGCCGATGTTGGGAAAGCAGGAGATGACTCAAGTTCTTCATCTGAATCACCAACCGCTCATAGGAAGCAAATACCTCCTTCACGCAAAGCTAAGAGTAAAAATCAGGGGTTTGGAAAGCGGCCGGTGAAAAGCAGTAGTGGTTACTCTAGTCACACAGAGGAAACTACTTTTAGGTGAGTGAGCAGGGTTTTTTAAAATTCATACCATGGACCATTAGACTGAGAAAGAATGCAATTAGGAACTACAATTTCTGGTGCATCCATAAAAAAAAATGTCCATAGGGAAGCTAATAGCACTCTCGTTATTGAACTGAGTTCGATATTGCAATTTCTAATCGCAGATTGAAGTCCAATTACAGTTCTGCACATAGTTATTGATTAAAAAATCGAGCTACAAGCCAAAATAAACAAGTAATATTTCAAACTGCAAGTAGATGAGGAAAATTATAAAACTTACAAAAAAAAAGCAAACATTTCGACCACCTACAAACTGCAATCTTCTTCAGTGCACTACGAACAACCAATGAAAACATTTTACAAAATAAAAAAGCTACAAAACTATTAGCAAACTTTGTGAAAATACATAATCTTTTGTGACTACGGTTTCAGGACATTCCTGGACGATTTTTTGTCGGCTCACCTGTTTCGTCCAGTAGTTTACATCCTTGCGTAAAATAAGCGACAGTGACTTGGTCCAAGCGTTATATTTTAGTCCGTATCCAAAATTATGTTGACAATATCGAAATGAGAAAATTAAAAGGGAAGGAGGTGTTGTTATGGTAACTTATTTTTAAAAGAAATGTTACTTTCTTCTTTTGATTCATCTTTTCAAATTGTCATCGGTGAATATTTTTTTTTTTTTTTATCCTTAAAATTTTCAATATGAAATATACCTCATATGTACCTTTTTTTTTAAATCAAAATATTACTTCATTTTAAAACTATTTACATTTTTAAAAAGTGGCAAACTTTTGTAAAACCTTTTCCAAGCGATGACATCGATATTAATCTCAATAAGCCGTAATTGTGTTGAAAGAAACTAAACAAAAATGAAGAAAAGAGGTAAAAAAACCAAGAAGCACGCAATTTTTGGTTTTAACCCATTTGTGCATCAATCTTTTAGAGTCAAATGCGTCAATTTTTGAGCGTTTAACTGTGCGCACACCCCGCTGCAGCTCAGTAAAAGCACAAAATATAAAAGAAAAAATTAAAAAGCTGAGAAAAATATTAAATTTGATGCGAAACCACCTGAATATTTACAAAAACATCTTATATTTTCCTTTATTACATATTTTTTGTTTATCATCAATTTCATGAGAATACTCCAGCAGAGTGTGCCAACATTTCCAAATCATGAGTTGAAAAACGCTAACTCAGCGAGTTTAAATATTAGAGCCCATCACAGAGCGGAGCAGCGTGCTGCCAGCACAAAACGCGCACTGGCGCCTACAAACCTAAAGGGATACTTCACGCATTGTGCAATGCTTGAAGTATCCACTTAGGTTTGTAGGAGCCAATGCGCTGGCCGGTCGCTCGCCGCGCCTCAGCGTGCCACGGCTCATAGTGCGGTATCCTTATGATCGATGCGGACAAAAATCGGTAAAAGTCACTTGACTTTAAATAATGAAGATAGTAGCACCGATATAGGAAAACCCTTTGTCACTAGTACAGTAAAACCTTCGATGAATAAGAAAATGTTATATCTCAGGATATTTCGCGTATTTTTTGAGGAAAGTTCATCTGAAGTTGGCTATTTCGGATCACCCCTATGTTAACAATGTAAAAGCAATGTGAAATGCCCAAACTTTAACCTCAAATATCTCTGATAGTCGCAAGATCTTTTTGGTGGAATTGAAATTGGATATCTGAGGATTAAGAAAATGTCGACCACCCAGAGCATTTTGTGTTTCAAGCCAGAAATCTTCATTTGAAGTTGATGTCTTTTTCCCGTGTATTTCTTACGGACCAGTGATTCTCGACCCATTTTCCGCCCACTTTCTACCCAAATTTGAACTAGTTTTGGGCCGAAAATTTGAAAATAAACCATCATTGTGAGTCAGGAATATCATAAAGATAACAAACATCCAAAGAAAATATTCAAATGTCGAGTTGTGAATTTTGGATTTTTGTCCACAGAGGGCCGCACTGTGCGGCACCTCAAGCAACTATTTCACAACAGAGGTACTGCACAGTATCATACAAAATTGAAGGCGCTTCAACACATTATAATGACAGGCATCCTTTAAGAGTACAGAGCTTTCCTCGCAAAATAAATCAAGATACTACGGCACATAAAGAGAGCGGAAGTCCAAAAATTTACTAATTCCTAACGTACGTATTTAAAAACCTTTAGCATAATTTTTGGATTTCATTAGAGAAAACAATGACTCGATTTAGGCAGAAACATTCTTAAGTTTGCCGTCAAGAAGATTTTATCATGAATCAGGAATAAAATAGCTGTATGAAAGCGGGTTTCTGCTTGATGTAAGTGACTTTTCTTTTCATATAGGCATCTTTTCTCCTTTAAACAAGCATTATTTTCTTTATTGATTCATGAGGAAATCTTCTCGGCGGTAAATTTGAGAATTTTTTGTTTGAATTTGGAATTCCACTAGTTGTTAATTGTCTTGTATCAAAAGTGAAATGTCGAGAATCTTGAACATAAATGAAGTCAAATTTAAAAACTTTCGAAAAGTACCAGACTAGTCAAAGACTAAAATATAAAATTTAAAACTCACTTGTCCGAGATGAATGAAGTTGTTAAACTTTATCCTTTACATTAAGCCCTATGGAGGAGTAACACTCCATGCCTCTTATTTGCAGTTCAAACTTCATGCATTTTGATACGATCCTATCAAAGTCAATCTAAATGAGCTTGTGAGCTGTCATAAGTGGAAGTTTTGATGGAAGGTCAGGGGAAGTCAGAAAATTAAAAAATTTCGGAGTCTGGAAAAAGCCAAAAAGGTCAGGGTATCAGGGAATGAAGAAATCATGAAAACTCTGGAAACGCCACGCACAATCTTGTGATGGCGTGCACCAGGATTTGGATTTCCACCCTTCATTCGTTAGAGTCAAAATCTCTGAAATTAGGAATCAAGTTCAAATGTAGGAGTGACAATTTTCATCAACAACCATGTATTTCAACAAAAGAAATCCTTGTGCTCTTAACTTATTTTCTCTCTGATTCCAGCTTCAACGACCGAATTAATCCACCCTCTCGTTTCTCCGACTCAAGGTCACACTCAAGGGAATTGAGCGAAACGGACTGCGATCTAAATAAGTTAGCTATCAGAAGATCTTCCCGAGGCTCAACACGTCTCAGCCGAGAGGCCTCATTCCAAATCAATGTCTAGTCGTGCCTTTAAATTGTATTTTATTTTTTATATATTGTTGACTTTAAAAAACCCATCTTGACTGAATATCGATAATATGATAGTGGTCGTTTATGCGGATACTGTCCTATTCAGGATCCATTTTTTTTATTGTTATTTTATTAGCATCCAATGTTAAAGGGAGGTTGAATGAATAGTTCTCAATAATGTGGATTTGTATCTTTTATATAGAGAAACGGTCGATTGCCGAGTTGCATGCTTTCCAAAATTGTATAAGTGAAATGGAGTATTAAGCGATAAGTCTCAGATTTACTTATACATTCAAAGCTTATGCTTGAAGACATGCGAGTCTATTAGCTCTATAAATTCTAATAATTTTAATGGTCCACAGGCCAAAATACGAATTGAAGCGTTCTGATAATTATATCCTTCTCCCTTCTCAAAATTTCATGCTGAACACAGTTTGCTCAACAATAATTACTAAAATTAGCTCCCCAGAAATGAATTATATATATATCAAATTTATTGTCAAGAAAGAAATCAGTGCAAAGAAAGAACATGACTTTTTAGAATACACTTAAGAATTATTACAACAACTATCTCTGTTTAAAAGGTATCCATTTGGATTTGTAGATTAAGATTTTCTACAGAAAGTTTTAGATAGGGAGGAATTTTAGGCTGTACAATTTAATAAATTGCACATGAAAATAACTAGGGAAAAAATCCAATGGGAAAAAACCTAGTTTAGATGAAGGAGGTGGGATAAAACAAAACCCAGACTGCTGAAAGAGCAAAATAACAAGAATAATAAGAAAATAAAAATAAATATAAAAATAACAAAAATAAGTAAATATTAAAAATTTACTACTAGATAACAAGGGAAAGGGTGAAGACTTCAGTACGTGAGCGCCCAGCTCTCCATTTTAAGTATGGAGAGGCGAGGCTGGGCGTACTCACGCCTGTGCCTGTGAAGAAAGAATTAATTCTATTATAAATCAGTTCACAGATAGTGAATCAGATTGTAGGGAAGGTTGGACTGATTGTGGGATCTGTACCTCTTGTTGAGGTAAGAGCTTGAGGATAACAGACATCAGTTTGTCAATCTGCTCTGCTTGTTTAGTTACTAGGTGTTTAAGCTCGTTGATTACTGTGACATAATCAACGCTGTTATCAGTTGTCGTGAGTGATACAGCTGGCTGAGGAGTTTTGTTTTCGGAAGAGCTCGGTCCTTTCAAGGCAGAACTGTAGCTCTTATCTGATGATCTAATGTTAGAATTAAGATTTCCTTGATTAGGCTCGCTCTTGACTGGAAATCTCTTTTTACTCACTTCTTTTTTGACTTTGCACCCTTGATAGGTTGCCAAGTGGTTACCTTTGCAAAGGGCGCAAACGGGGAAGATACACGTAGGTACATCAGGGGTTTTACATTCCCCTGTTTGATGAAATTCAGAACAGATAGCACACCTGGGTTGACGAAAACAGTAAGATTTAGAATGTCCTAATGAGAGGCAGTTTTTACACTGTATGACAGATTTTCTTTGATGAGGTTTTTTGAACTTTACAATTAAATTGGAGATTTCCTTAACCTGCCAAATCATTTCGTTAGAGCCTGGGAAAGGAAGTAAGTCTACATAATGCAATGGAAGAGGAGATTTATCTGTAAATTTGAGCATGCGAGTCACATTTTTGACGGGTATCGTGTATTTCTCCTCAAGACAGGAACGTATCGTTTCCTCAGCTTGAGGAAAATCCGTAGGGATACCCCTGCATACAACTCTAGTAACTTTTTCTTCTTTAATTTGGTAGGTGAAGTATGCTATTTTTTTGTCCTTGAGGACCCTAGTGAGAGAACGATATTCATCGATTTTTTCTAAAATTATTTTAAACTGGGTTCTATTAATGATTTTGAGTTTTGAATTTTTAGATATTTTATCTACTACTTCTGCTTTAAAGGTGAAGGGGTTTGGAATTTGAGAAATGAAAATGGGAGGGGGGGTTAACAATGGTTCTACTGACTTATCGGATTGAAGAATATTAAATTTAGAACTTAAATTAAGCGCAGGTACTGGTGGCCTATTTGCAGGGATAGCCTTCTTGGACGGGGCCTTAGATGGAGAGTTGGTTAAGGACGAGTGAGATTTCCTTCTCTTGTGGCGGGTGACAACCTGGAAGCTGTCGTTATCTGTTTTAACACCTTGAAACTCCGAAGACTGGGTATCTGAAATGATGGGTTGTAAATCCATGGATTCTACTTCTGGATCAGTTGACCCTTCGTCAGAGTCAGAATCAGTGACAGCTTCGGGTGCATCGAGGTCATCAGGGCTGTAGGGCAAGCCTTTGCACTTAGAGCACTTGAAGGGGTATTTTTTGTGTATACACTTGCAGTCAATAGCTGCCTTAACACTGCATTTTTTGCAGAGATGAGCCGACTGTTTGTGCTCACACTGTAATAGTGTGACACTTTTTTGGGAGGCCACCTTTTTCACACTTTTCTGAGAGGGAAAAGGTCCTGCAGCGCGAACATTGATAGTTTGTTTACCCTTTTTGCTATCTCCTAAGGGTGGAAAAGCACTTGAAGGGGGAGGGAACACTGGAAGGTTAGTGCAAGTACCGCACTGCTGAAATAAAATTCTGTGCGAGCACCAGAATTTTTTGGTGAAAAAGTTGGATCTTTTAATGTCACAAAGATTGCAAAGATGAGCAATTTGCTCATGAGCACACTTCACAAAGTTTATTCCCGGAGAATTGGGATCCATTTCACACAAGGAAAAAACTCAGAAACACGGCATGAAAGAGACTTGACCAGAAATGAATTAACGTTCTTTTTAATTACCAAAATGTCTCTGTTTCTATTTAATTCATTATTTTTTCATTTTTGTGTAAGGGAAATCGGAGTGGAATAAAAAAATTTCTCTGCCAGCGTGTCATAATTACGCCAAGCACACACTCAAAGGAAGCTGTGATGAACCAAAAAAAAAAGTTAAACAGGATTTGGCGTCCATGTCTTCATAAAAATAAAAGCGTGTAGCTCTTACAGCAATATGCCATATTTGTATTTTCAATGTCAACCAATGCCTTTTCATTTAATTTGTTTTGGTAGACTCGGCAGCCAACCGTTTCTGAATCTAATGTGATTTAGTTTTATTGCTTGGAAACCAATCTGACCGAAAGTTCTTAAAATAATCCATGTAATTGTTTCTGTGAAATGTCTAAAAGCTCAATTTTAACCTTAATCCATTAGATTTAAAACATATCTTTTTTTATGCTGTATTTTCTACTCAAAAAAAATGAGCAACGTTACTTTTCAACGAAACACAAGGATAAAATATTTATAGCATATACTGATACTAAGATAGGGAGAGACTTTTTAAAAAGAGTGTAATATCGTCTAATTGTTCACTAACAGATATCAGTCAATTTCTCCCTAACATTGCAAGTTTAGGCTAGTTTTGTTTTTCTCTAAATGCTAAAGAGAAAATTGTACGATTCTTTGTGTCAGGATTTCAAGTATCAAAGTACATTCTGGTATGCTAAGGAAAAACGTCTTATGAACATTAGAGAGTTGCCGAATTTCCCAGTGTAAAACATGCATTTCCGTTGAGAAAATGTACACATATTTTCCCTTGATCATTACTAATATTTTAGATGAAATTGCAAACAAAATTCAAAGAAAAATATGCACAATTTTCTTGGTAAATTCGGTTTTTATTGAGATAAATTTGGCTATCTCTTAAAGGTCATATAGCACCTAGCTCAGCAGCATATTGCTGCAAAACTTTAAATGCACTTATCTCGGTTCCGACGTTTCCAAAAATTTGCTCTTATCTGAATTTTTATAAGGAGGCGGAATAAACAGTGTGGCTTGATATTTTCATAGAAATCTTTTCTCGCCGAGAAAAAATGTTACTGAAGTTTTCAAGGAATTACATTGAGTAATTTTTCATGCAGAAAATAGAGATTGACAGGAAGTCTGCAACGTTGCGGACCGAGATACATGTTCCTGCAGTTTCACTATCGCTACACTAATAACCCAGGCAAAAAGTCTAGAGTATCTGTGAGAAACGCCAAAGCATCAAGAAAAAGTCTCCAATTTTTTACAGGATGAAACATTTTTGAATATTTCCCTGCTGTGATGATACGAATTTATGCATCAATGCCACACTGTACACTCTAGCTCCCTGCGGTGTTAACTTGCCTGTTTTGTTGACTGATCCTGATACATGTCCTGGCAGCAGGCCATTTTTGCAGGCCTTTGTGACTAATCTATTTACGCAGGCCTGATCTCCTATTGTTGCTGCATGAGTGGAGAGACTGTAACTACTCCTTTTCGTGATGTCAGACTAGTGGACATTATATACCAAAAACACCAATCATGTTTGGGTCATCGGAGAGTCAGTAATTAAGCGAGGCATGACACCAAGACAAGCAGACAACCAATAAGAGCAGCCTTTGATCGGATGAAGTTGTGAGAGTGGCTCATTTCACTTGTAGTTGTTTAACAATTTTCAGCATTTAGCATTTATCTCTTCAATTATCAAGTAGTATCCTGTATGAGCTAGTCAGTCCAATAAAGTAAAACTTCATCCTCATTCGAATAGGTTTTTATAGAATTTGGCCTCAAATTAAGCTCTACAAAGACGCCGGTACAAATCTAACACGCATCATGCAATCTCCTATAAGAGCGCATGTTAAACTGCCGCTGAGTTTCGTCCACTAGCATGTCACTAAAACGTAGTTATGGCCTCTCCATTTTCTTAGGCAAAGCTCCTATTTTACCCTCAGGGTCATTCATGTAAAATAACAATTTTAATTCAGCTCAAACTAATTCAGCCGAACTACACGTTTGTTTTTTTTTCTTCCTTTTTATTTGTGAATGAGAGGAAAGAAATTATTTAGGCATTGAGCTCCTCAATTGAGACAATTGGCAAAAAGAATGTCCTCTTCCTTATTTAAAGAAAAAAAGAACCATCAACATGATATTGACTGATATTGTTGAACATGTACGTCTGTTTGATGAACTTTTCTACTTCCAGCTTTTTACTTTTTTAGTTATTTTTCATAATGTATTAATGAATTAATTCATTGAATAATTTATTAATTTGTGTACAACTTACTTAGTGATAAAGAGGTGCAAAAGAAACGGAAATCATGTGAATTTTTCACAGTTACCATTGAGGGTCAAATGCACGGGCAGTGTAATACCTTTGACCATTGCTTTGTTTCCTTTGATCAATGTTGATTTTGTTTATTTCTTAAGTTGTTTTGTTTTCTGTTTGTAAATAATTTAAATATTTATCCTGAAATAATTGCTTTCACCTAATTTCAAAATAACCCCATGTACTCAAAGTTCATCCTATGGCTAAGCAAGGTTACTCAATGGTTACTCTCTACTACAATGGTTACTCTCAAACCTATCACACAATCGTTTTCATGGAATACCACATCAATGGTGAAAGTTAAAAAAGCTCATATTCAAATAGTTATCCTTCAAAGTTTCAATTCAAAAACTTCTCAGAACCTCTAAATTAATTTTAAATATTTTGCATGATATGAACCTATCCCAAGTATCTATTTTTGAAAATCAATTTTGAAAACTGCAAATTAAACGATTTAGATGCATCACTCGGTGTCATATCTAACCAATCATTCTCGTTCTTAGTTCAAGTAACGCAAAATTTTGGTCTGACTTTCTGAGGGTGCTGCTGAAAATTATTTGGTTTTTTTAGATTATTATATTTTATTGTTTGCATAATATGAGTTGCATTGGGTATTAAAATGTGACAAATTCAACTAATTGCTCAGAAAGCTTTACATCTGAATTGATAAGATAGCCAGTCAGTGGGTTTAAAATAAAAGATGGCAAAAAATGAAACTCTGTGCCCCATCCTTACCTGATTTCAAAATTATTTATCTTGTTTTCAAACTACTGTAAAGAAGAACTGTACAAACAAATCAATAAAATACAAATGGTTTTTCAACTTTTTGCTGTTTCGTCAAAAGATTTTATATTCTCAAAAAACTATCATTCACCCATAATTTTTTTATTAAAAAAACGAGTATGTATTTTGAATCTTTTGCACGCCTCCACTCATCCGCTGATTGTGAGCTCCAATGAACTCGTGGAGCTTTTCCGACCAAAATATGGGACTCAGTGGGTCATTTCCAAGTTTGGACTAGGGACTAGGACCAGTTTGGTTTCGGCTTGATCGGAGAACTTTCGATTTTGACCCTAAAAATTTGGCCCTTGACCCATGACAGGCCCATTTAGGTCCCGAGACTCGCCGGAGCTCCCTGAACGGAGAAAAAGCGTTTTAAACCTCGAATTAGGTTTTCAAAAGAGAATGTCCCCACTTTAATTTCCTTTTTTGAACCATCCAAAGGGAACTCACCCTTTACCCTTTCTCCGTGGTTCATAATAGACCAATAGCAAGGTACGTACGTATTTAAGGGTTCTGATACAAAATTCTTGACCAGAATTGCACCTAGAACACGATTGTATTATAATTACTGACATCGACTCCCAAGGAAAAACCAACGTTTTACTTTACATTGGTTACGGAAATTTGAATTGCCCAGTCACAAGAAGGACAATACTCTAAGTGAGTTAAATCGCGCACAAGAAAAGGTTTGGCAAGCCTCTCTATCGGTCGATCAGATACCACCTTCTCCACCCGTCATTTAAAGTGTTAACAACAAGCAACGGCTGAGCTAAATTACTGAAATAGAGGTTGCCATATTTTCATACCTCAGGGACTCTTGCGGCAACGTTTATTGCATGATTTGGCGTAAATAGACCATTATGCGTGTTCATAAGAGTGGAAGTTTTGAACTCACACATCAAGAAACATCTTATATCTTGGTTAGGAGTTAATTTCAGTAATTTTCGTGGCGCGAATCATGTTCTAGGTGAAATTTATGGTATAAAACATATATCAGAAGACTTAACCTTGTACCTTGTGTAGTGGTTTATTCAGCTCTGTTCATTTAAGAGGTTCAATTAGCTTGAAATTGCCATTTATAGATAAATTGCAATTTCAAGCCGATGTCGCCCAGCCTGCAGTTCTCTTGAAAATCAAAGCATATGGCTTCCCTTAGCCCAAATAAGTGTCGGTGATGTTATGTAGCTCCCATGAGAAACCCATCGGTAAGATCAATTAATTTTTAAAATCAAAAGAACGGCAGCAGGAATCCAACTTAGATAATTAAGATACTTTATTAAAATACAACAAACGTAAATAAAGGTTCCATTAAGCTTTTATACAAATATAGATTTTAAAAATAAAATTCTTAATAAATTAAACATCTTGAATGGTTTCTTATGTCTAGACTAATTTCAAATTATTTACAGAGTAAGTGTCATTGAATAGGACAACCACTTAGATCCAGTGTTGCTGATGTCATAGAAAAGTAGCTTCTGTCACAAAAGAATCTTCTCTGTCCCTGAAACAGTGACATCATGTGAGCATTATTAGCTTAAAGTGAAAAAAAACGAGAATAAAACGGCCGCGTAAAAATGTTTCATAGAAAACTGTATGGCAAGAACCCCTCATGAATTTATTGGATAAGCCAGAGTCACCATTTTGGGGGTTTTTAACTCTTCCATAAATGGATTTCCTTTTTTATAATAGATTCTCCCTTGGAAGTGCATTTCGTAAATCGATACGTTACTTCTAACTAGTCATTATTAAAAAAAAAGAGGTAGAGAGAACGCAACTTGTCATTTCCCGGATGCCCAAGTAGCATTTTTCAACGGAAAAATCGCGATTTGTTGCGATTTTGTCGGCGATAAAATCGCTAAGATCATCAACATCTGAGCGATTATTCTCTATCTTGTTCCAATAAAATCGCGATTTTATCGCCCGGCAATTTATCGCGATATTATCGCAACAAAAATCGCAATATAAGGCGATTTAATCTCAATTTTATCGACGAAAACTTTCCAAATCAGCAACCTTGGGTCGCATTGATAGGCGTCAACCAAAACTGGCCAGCAAGTATTAAGCACTTTTGCAGCCCTTCCTCAGTACATGAACAAAAAATTCAGTTCCTCAAAAGCAGAAAGAATGCCGTACTTTTTCGATGCCCTTTAAGTTGATTGTTAAATTGAGTTCATATTATTTAGTTATATTTCTTCCTGCGCTTGTTTATTTTTATTCCTTTTAAAAATTGATAGAATTTCGTAATGTAAGCCTAGCTAGAACACTGTTAGTCCTTGCGGTAAAAACTGCAATAGCGGTAAAGGAACACTGACAGGGCCGCAGCGTGGAGGCTGATTTATATCAATCTTCCATCGCATTGCTAAGGCGCAATGATACAACTATACGTACTCTCCGGAACGCGTGAGGTATCACGCCACATTTGAAGGCGTTTTCGAAACTGCCAACTTTCCAAATCAGCAACCTTGGGTCGCATTGATAGGCGTCAACCAAAACTGGCCAGCAAGTATTAAGCACTTTTCCAGCCCTTCCTCAGTACCTGAACTAAACATTCAGTTCCTCAAAAGCAGAAAGAATGCAGTACTTTTTCGATGCCCTTTAAGTTGATTCTTAAATTGAGTTCATATAATTTAGTTATATTTCTTCCTGCGCTTATTTATATTATTGCGATTTATTGAACATTTATTGAACACGTGAACCGCTTGCAAATTGCCGGTGGTTGCTCTTGGAGTTGTTGCATGTGTGAGGAATCGGCGATTTGACTATTGCTTCTTATGTAAAAGTTCGCGAGAAACACGATAGTGCCACTGATTTTCTCTGAAATAGACTCCCAAGCTCAAAAAAAGCTCTCAAGTTGAGGCCAAAATGGAGGAGATACCCCACGCTTCCCTGAGAGTCCACCCCTACGTCAACACAAACTCTCCATGCACAGATAGGGAGCAAATGCATTGACAGGGCTGCCACTTTATTTGGGGGCTCCGAAACTGAAAACACGGCAACCCTACTAATGTATTTGCTTTCTATCCTTGCATGGAGAAATCATCTTGATGTAGAGGTGGACTCTCAGGATAGCGTGGGATATCCCCTCCATTTTGGCCTCAAGTTGAGAGCTTTTTTTGAGCTTGAGAGTTGATATCAGAGAAAACCAGAGAGTCCATCGTGTTTCTCGAGAACTTTTACATAAGAATAAATAGTCAAATCGGAAATTTCCCACACATGCAACATCTCCATTTCCTGCGACACATGCATTCCTTTCGTATGAACGTTTCCACTTTGAAAGTACCACGTTTTTAAGGGAGCACTGGAGAAAAAACCACATCGGATCTAGAGCCCAGACTCTTGAAAACATTGACAGGAAAAAATACCCTTGATTTAATCAGATTTTTGCCTACACCAAAAGGAAATCCGCTCAAATTAAGAAGCTTGGTTCTTGATTTAAGCAAAAATTCGATTGAATCAAGAGTATTTTTTCTTGTCGATGTTTTTAAGAGTCTGGACTTTAGATCCAATGTGTTTTTTTTTCCAGTGAGGAAGAGAGACCATGTTTAACCATGGAAGTACCATGTTTTTAAGGGAGCACTGGATAAAAAATCACATTGGATGTAGAGTCCAGACTCTTAAAAACATCGACAAGAAAAAATACTCTTCATTCGATCAGATTTTTTCTTAAATCAAAAGGAAATCCGCTCGAATTAAGAGGCTTGGTTCTGATTTAAGCAAAAATCCGATTGAATCAAGAGTATTTTTTCTTGTCGATGTTTTTAAGAGTCTGGACTCTAGATCCAATGTGGTTTTTTTCCAGTGAGGAAGAGGGAGGGAGAGAGAGAGAGAGGGAGAGAGAGAGAGATGAAGTAGCTATCATTGTCGGGACTTGGCGTCGTCTACGGACCGCACTGTCGGGACTCCCTATCATTGTCGGGACCCGAGTGAGGTCCCGACAGTGTTTTCAGGCAAAATCCATGAGTAAAATGTCGAAATACAGGGAAATTACGTATGACGTTGAAGAGTAGCTTCCTCCCATCTCTGAAATTATGTTTACTTTGATCCTAATTTAAACAACTCTCATCAAATTCACAATTTTAAGGGAGTCCCGATAATGATGGTAGCAAGATGATTTTCTCTCCGACTGAAATTGTAATCATTGTCGGAACTTAAAAACGTACTGATTCGAGCGCCATCTACGTAACTAATCAGAACTACTTACAGTGTTGACAAACGTAAAACAAGTTTTGATTATTATAATCAACCATTTGCCCCACGCATTCCTTTCGCGGCTCGCGCCGCGCTATTCTTTTGTCTGTCCGGTCGAGCTGCGGCTTCCTTTGTTTCTTCCACACAATATCCCTGATGCTATGGGCCTTTACCTAAATTTATCATGAATGGATTCTCATGCGCGGATCTTTTAAAAATGTCTTCGACGGAGTTCACTGCCCTACAAGCAAGACCTTGGATTCCTTTAACAGCGACTCATGCTGTAGCATCGGCACCGCGTAGCAGCGTTTTCGAGCAAGTGGGGGTGTGCGATCGTCTATAACTCAAAGGGTGCAAAACCCACAATTTTTCAAAGAACCCGAAAAATTTCAAAAATAAAATTCCGTTAAAATGAACATTGCTGCATGTCTACGAACGCAGAATTTTGATCTGGATTCGGTGCTTTAAGTGATAAAGCTGTTATTTTCATTTACTCCGGAAAAACTAACGCTTTCCTGGACAATATTAAGACTGTAAAACTGGACAGTATACTAAGTAATTCATGTGATATGCCTATGAATGCCTCATTTTATTCCATTCATTTCAGGGGGTCTAGACAGTAAAGTGTACGTATCGGCCGTTAATTGAGAAGTCGATCAATTTTTGGAAAAGAGGGAGGGGATTGCCCCGCGATTCCTGTGTAACATCAATACCACCAATTTCACTGTAATTGCAAGATTTTTATAAACAATCTTTGGCATACGTTTTTTCAGTACCTAAGTGTCGAGACTGTAAATTCTAGGTTCAGTGGCGTCATTGACGACGTTGCCATTTTCACCAACTCGGTAAACATACAGTAAACATACTCATTCCCGGGACCCTTTGCTTTTCCTTAATTATCCTTTACTTTTTGCTGCTATGTAAATAGGCAATTTTACGAAATAGCTAAAAAAAGGTAAACGCTTAAATCTGATAACGTCAATCCGAGTTATACGATTAGCTAGCTATCCATAGAGTGGTATGATGCCTGTTTTCAAATTTCTTTGCTGATTTCTCAACCTGATTTTTACCCCAAGTTTTACCCGTGACATCGGCCTTCTGACGTAAGGGCGTACCTCAATTTCCACTTAACCCTGCTTTACATGTAAACCCATGCTTTTTGGGACTCATTCGTGAATCGAGATACGCCCTCACGCCAAAGGAGCAACGATGAGTTTCAAACTAGAAAGTATTAATGTACCTACATTTTGTGCGTAAATCTTGTAAAATCTAATCGAAATCTTTAACGTGATTTGGTGTATGTAGGTATATTTTCTTCCATTCTATGAGATTACTTCCTTCTCAGGAGCTTCTCCAAGACTTATGCTTCATTCACAACTGAATCCTTTCCCTAAAATGCCGAACTG